CAATGTTGCCACGCCGATTTGCTTGCCATCGGTAGATTCATTAGGCAATTTTCGGTAGATTTCGGTAATTTTTCGGTAAATCGACTTTTTGTGGCAGAAAGGAGGTTGCACATAAACAATAACATTCTTTTTCGTCATTTATTTTATTATACACTATAAAACAATAAAAAACAAAAAACTAACACAGAACACTTACGTAAAAAAATAATAATTTACTAATTAAGTAGGTACATTTTGTCTTATTTTTCTAACAAAATACAGTATTACCTTTTATTTTTCGGATATTAATAATAATTATTATTATTCAATATCTTCCGTTTGTGTGTTTTTAACACTGTTTCTTATTTTTGAAATTAAATTATCTTTTACAGGAAAATCGTAACAGTAATTTTTATCCAATTAATTGTAAGAAGTAAACCAGTGATCGTTTCAGAGCTCACAAGTCAGTTTATTTCCGTGTTTCGTGTTTAACAGATTTATTTACGAAAATATTCTTTCTATTCCATTAGCTGAAGAATGGGGCAGACACAAGATATTCTCAACAAAATGAGACAGAATCTTTGCAATAAAGTCTCTTACAATATATAAGAAATGAAAGTACAAAGAAATGTTTTATTGAGAATTTTTAGATACATTGAAAATAAAATTTTTTTTCTTGAATTATCGCAAACTTTTCGGTAGATTTGGTGCTTCAATCGGTAGATCGGTAGATAGGTCCCAAAATCGGTAGATCTACCGAAAATTCGGTAGACGTGGCAACATTGGTTTACACAGCTGGATGACCTTGAGAACATCTGGTATCGGATTTTCCAGGACATTCTCATAGACGTCCCTGGAGGACAAGGGTTTAAAGTAGGGTGAATACTAGCTGGCGGTATGTTTTTAAATATTTTTAAGAACCTAACGCTCTACCGACTGAGCTAACCGGGCACTTTCATTCTAACGATTTTCGTTTTCTACCAGCGCAATATTCTATCTCTGTGTCAGTAGAATGCTGTCACCATCTTCCGATTTTCGAATCGAATTTCAGAGAAATTATCCACAGCGAGATTCGCCGTGTTGTCGAAATGCGATAAAAAGATTCGTCGTCGACAGAAAACTTGAATGTAATATCAATGCATTAATTTGCTTTTTGCTTTGCCTACATGCAATATCCAATTCAGTGTTATTGCAAAATATGCATTTGCAAGTATCCAATCAAACACGTCTTCTTCGCATATCCAGTTAAGACCAGCGTTCGTAAGTCTGTAAAATGCCATTCAATACTAGCAACGATCGGCAAAACGAAGGGAAAAAAAAGCCAACCGCCCGAACAGGGACTCGAACCCTGGACCGTTAGGTTAAAAGCCTAACGCTCTACCGACTGAGCTATCCGGGCCTTGTCTGCTAATTCTGCTCCTGGTCTGATAACACAACAGAGCATCATTTTCCACAAGAATCTCTCGCGTTAATAAATGTTTTAGCCTGCAAATTACCGACATCTGTCTTAAAAACATACCTTTCGCAATTGTTTCGAACGTCATGACGTTCGAAATTTAAGACAGATGTCGGTAATTTACAAATGCGAGCTGACGCGTCAGCTCGCATTTAGTCATTGCCGTCCACTTTTCCGTCGTCCTGTCTGCAATTTTCTATTGGTTCCAAGTGCAAACGGAATCTGTTTGTTTCCCATTCAATGCGTGTTATATCTCATGCGGTTGCGACAACTTCCGACTGCTGTAAACCAAATTGGTTTATCATGTTCAATCAGGTCTTTAGCTACTGTACACGATGCTGGTTTGCTTTCGCAACGGCGTAAAAAAATCTTAGCCCTTTGCCAAACTGCTACCGCACCCATAATCAAAAATTACGTAAAAACGCAGCCGACAGGATTCGAACCTGTACGGGAAGATACCAACGGATTTCTACTTTGTCGCCGTAACCACTCGGCCACGACCGCTTGCTGTTACTGCTCCAATTACTTTATACATCTCTATCCACGCGGTCACTGCAATCGCCGCTCAAATATATTTTCCAGTCTTTGCACTTGACGTTAATTTCTCCATCACATACGCTTGCAAAACGACAGGTTTGCAACTGCAACTCCTCCGCCTCCAGACTGCGCATACAACTCGAGTAATGGTGACATTTGATCGCAACTACAGCCTCCGAAATTTTCATCTCATTGTAGGTTCACATTTTCCATCCTCATTATTTCGGTTCTCGACTAACACCGATGTCAAATGTTTATTCACTCAAGCGATGGACCGTCAGATATCAAGTAAGTTGGCCAGTACATTCATGTCGGTCAAATAACTGTTGTCATAATTCGCAGATTTACTATTTCACTATTACAAAAACACAGACTACAGTATGTGAAATTCCAACGCGTCACAACTTACGCCCGAGTTGGAAACAAATTACGTACCCCGGCAAAAAAATATTATTAATTAACAAACGCGCAATCGATAGGATTCAAACCTGTGCGGGAAGATCCCAACGGATTTCAAATCCGTCGCCTTAACCACTCGGCCGCGACTGCTTTCTGCCTCTTTCTTGCAACCACGATTTCATGTTTCATTACTTTTCGTACGAAAACAGCTCCAACTTCAATTCTCTTTCCTACGGAATTGCCGCAACTTTTAAACATTTCCTGTAAATGCAGCGTTCGTTCATCTGTATAGGTTTTTTTACATCACAACTATATGAACCCGCGATTCGTAATTCATTCACAAACCAAACTTATCATAAAGGAACCAGAATAACAAACGATATATTGTCTCTCTTTCTTGGCTTATTATTCTTATTGTGCAAATCTACCGAACACATAGTCGGTTAGCCAAAAACGTTTTCATGCATACGACTGCATACGTAAATTATACAACTACGAGGTACGTTTTCTATTTTACAATTACAGTAGACCCCTATAAAACGGGTTCATACAATGCGGATTCGTATATAGCGGTGAAAAAATTGCGATCGTATTCGTGTAAACACGCTAAAAGAAACTCGTAAAATACGGTAAAACGTCATCGCCGACTCGTGTCGCGGCAGGATTGGTCGAATCTAGACCAATAGCGGATATTGCACAAACCGTTGAATTTAAACGAGCAGCGGACCTACTAAAAAGTATTATTTAACGACCATAAAAATTATATTTATATTAATGATGTCTCCAAAGTTCAGTAAATTTTTCACAGAAAAATAATTTACCAGGAAATGCGCTCGCCGTTCGGTGCGCCGCTCCACGACGAAAACAAGCTTAAGCAATGGCGTCGTCGAACGGTGCACACTCGGTAAGTAATCCTACAATTTTTTGTTTATAGCATAGTTTATATGGGCCGTGTTCAGTAACGCAGAACACCTAAGTTAGAATTCTGAGTGGCTTAGTGGGCGGAGCTAAGAATACATAAAAGAAGCTAGTGGTGGGAGGAGCCAAGCAGTAGTTAGAAACGAGTTCAAGCAGCATAACTAGACTTAGCAAGAATTCTGCGTTACTGAACACGGCCTTGGTCTTAACCGTCTCGGCCATCCGGCCTGCTTATGTCTATGATTAAAAAGACTTACATATAAGGCGAAAAAAATGAAAAAATAATGAAAAAAACTATATCTTATTTGTTACAATTTATTTTATATTTTAAGTTTTTAACTTTTTTTAAAATTTACATAAAAATTAATTTTTATGTATTGAACGACAAAACCAGAAGGCGCCCCTATCTGCGATATGTTGTAATGTTTATATTAAGGCTGAAGTATGTTAGAAAATCTACGGGATAAAATTATTAATGTTCAGCAAGATTTATCGGCGAGGTAAATATAACTAATATAATTAATTAATAAATATGAATATATAGATTCGATTTAATATGATTTTAAGATCAGATAAATTTTACACGCTCAATAATGTCACTAATTGTCTTCTCATTTAACGTTATGTAGTAGATGTTACTTTTAGTCAAATTGTGTATAGGTTATGTATAGATAATTTATCTAAAGTAACTTTTAATATATTTATAATTGCATTTGCTTCTTTTTTTTTCTACATCAATGCAATTTGCAAAATCATATGTTTTAAAAATTTTTATATTCAAAATACCTGAAAAAGAAATATCTAAATTTGCTTTTAAAAAATAAATATCTAAATTTGCTTTTAAGGTGGTGCATTATCTTAAGGGCAAAAAGGGCAATTGCCTGGGATTCCACCAAGGGGCCTCAAACCAATCTTTTATCAGAAAATGTTCCCTCGGAGAAAAATATGTGAAGTTCACACTATACCTGGGGTCTCCTAATTCAAATTTGACTGTGCCGCACAAAACTATAATGTGCCACTGCACAAATTCCACATTTTTCAAGAAGGGAGAATCTGCCCTATCGTTGCAATACACCCAAACTTGATATAAATGATTCTATTATACCTTCCTTATTGAAAGTTATAGTAGAACCATTTTATATTTAGTCTTGAAAATATTTGTATTAGTTTTGATAATTAAACTAAAAAATGTAGTAAAGGAGCTGTGGCTAAAAAGAAATTTAGATTTTATTTATATGTTAACAAACTTTTTGGAAGTATTTCCAAGATTATTGTAAGGTTACATCATAACATGTTTTGATTGACTATTAAAAGATTAGTAATGGTCATTTATTGCTGTGATTATAATGATTTTTTTTGTCATATTTTTTCTGTGTTTTTTCATGACATATATCAAATAGGAAAAACTGTTTTTAATATATGGAGTCTTTTATTAGAAACAGATTTCTTAAATCTAAACACTTTTTAATATATTTCTTGATTTAGACAAATTACTGGAGCTACTATCAGCTTTTATGGGTCTTGTCAACATGTCAGCTCAGTGCTAACATTTTGTTTTTTCACCATTTTGGTTTCATTTTTGTTTTCACTCTTATTTATTCTGCAAAATTAGATAATTTAGCTTTGGTTTAAGAATTAAGATTTGGTGTTACAATATTCAGTTAACATTATCCATAAGTGTCATTTGTGTGTGCTATCTACTGGTTATTTCTATAATATGGCCTGTGATAGTTTTCAAACTAAAATTTAGCTATAGTAAAACCTTACATATCTGGCTACCTTTGGGATTATATATTTATATTAAAACTTATGCAGTGTTACAGGGGAATTTCAGGAGTATCCACATAGCTGAGGTGACCCAAGTTTTATTGTATTTTCCAATCATTCTATTCAAAAACACATTTTTTTTTGAGTTTCTCAAAAATGTGTTTTTGTGTCAGTTTTCTTTTGGATATTTGAATGAATGATATATGTCAGATTTTTTCCAGATATCAGCTTTCTCAACATTTTGAAGGTTTATATATATTGTTTTTAATTACAGTATATATATACTGTAATTAAAAACAATATTAGAAAAACGTAAAGCATCTAATTAGGCAATTTTTTGTCCATTTTCTAAATTAAAAAAACATNAAATCAAGTAATTCATGTATAAATGTTTTATTATAAAATCATTACAGTGGTACCTCAGGTTACGAACGCCCCAGCATACGAAATTTTCAGGATACGACATGAAATTCGAACATATTTTTGCTCCACGATACGAACAAAAACTCACCATACGACGTTACATTAGTTCGCATTTTTCATTTGTTTTTCTTACTACAGTTATATTTTTTAATGTATTACTTGGCCTTAATTTGAGTATGTTTTTCGCGTTGGAACAAATTATTTGATTTTACGTGTAATCGTATGGGGAAAAATGATTCACCTTACGACATTTTCATGATACGATCTCAGTTTCGGAACGGATTAATTTCGTATCCTGAGGTACCACTGTAATCAAAATAATATAATTTTTAGATTAACATTTATTCAAATAATCAGCAAACTGATAGTTATAAAAATATCTTAATCTCAATGCAATTCACACTGAAAAGTTATCAATCAGAATTGAATCTCAATAGAATCTTTTATAATCATCTAAATTAAAGCAGATGAAATATAGATATATATAGTGTGTGTTGTAATTAAAAACAATATTAGAATACAGAATCGTACCAATTTTGAACAAAATTTTAAATTTATTAATTTTCAGTTTAAAATTTTGTTTGAAATCGGTATGATTCTGTATATATCTGAGGATGACGCCTTTTACTGCATCAAAAGCACTTGTAAGAAAATAAAATTTACAGTAAAACAATAGTTAATGCCTTTTTTGTGTGAATTTTCTCCAATCAGTAAAAATTTTTGGCGTGACATCCACCATACACGTAAGTAATAAATGTTGTTGTGTATACAGAAATTAAAATAACATTCTATACATTTATGCAGTAACCTATTAAAAAATTTACAGAATTGAATGTCAACGTAAGAATTAAATTTAATAAGTGTGAATGAAATTTTTAGATTACTTGTATTTTTTTCATTGTATAATGTAATCCAGTTTTAGATGAATTTTTTTTATAAAAAAAATAATTTTCTGATATATATGTAAATATTCATTATAAAAAATTAAATTAAACATATATTTTAATTACAAAAATATTATTCTTAATTTTGATTTATTTACAAAAAGCAAGATAAATTATGTTGATTCTTTATCCATTTTAGAATACATCTTTTCAGAATTGCAATAATTTGTCTTAATTTTGTATTAATTTTATTGATGCTTGCATTTCAGGTATGCAATACACACACAATTTACTAATATCTTCTATGTGCAAAAATACAAAAAATGTTGTCAAAATGTCAACATTTTGATTAACAGATAAATAGTTTTAAAAGTTTATCGAATAATTTCTGTTTAATAATTCTGGTGTTTTCCTTATGTGGATTTTAAGATGAAATTAACAGTATAAATACAGTACAAAATAAATTTTTAAATATTATTTTTGTAAAAACTTTTTCTGATTTGAAACATATTAAATGTTCTCTTATCAAATATTCTTCAACTGACTTTTATAAAATAAACCAATAAAAATTTATATTCTATTAACATAAACATTTAAACTATAAAATTCAAAATGCATATGATTGTACAAAAATATCTTTAGGATATTTTTAAAAATTATACAAGCATATTTTTTGACAGTATTAATTAAGAAATTTATAATTTGAAAAAATTTTTAAGTTAATTTTTTAAGCAAACTTAGGCTAAATCATAATGAAGTGTAATATTCAGAAATAAACAATGATTAAATATCATTTTAAAAAATGCTTTTCTTTTATAATTGTAATTGACGTCAATCTTAATTTATGTCATATAATTTAAGCATGACGTCAATCTTAATTTATTGATTTTAGCTTTGTATCTTTTATGTATCTATGCTTTTTTACATGATAAGCCTGAATTGAACACATTGTAAGAAAGGTCAACTTAACATATCAAGAGACAATTATAAGTTAATGAAATTGTCTAAAATAGAATGTTAACTTTATTAAAGTTACAATTGAAATATAAGATAAAATGAATAGCATTTTATCAAATTTTTAAAGTTGTTTTCCCAATTTCCTAGAAACAATAAAAAAAAAGAATCAATATTTTGGATTTACGTATTCAAAGAATTTATTGATTTTTCTCCACGGGAAGTATAAATTTTAGCATTGGTATTATTTAGAGTAACTCTAGTAAAATCTTGCTAATTTGAATTTAATTACTTTAATTTGTGAATGCCAATTTCTTTCAAATTCTAAATTTAACTTCAATTCTAATTCTGATTATACAGATAAAGCCTTAAGGAACCATAAAATACTTTGAGTTATCCAATATTCAAATTATTAGAAATGTGTGAAAAAGGATACGTCTTATAAATAGGAGGAATAAAATGATAAGTAATTGAATTACCATATTTCATGTAATAATTGCTAGTAGACAATTTTTTTGGGGGGGAGTGATTATCTATATCTATATCTATATCTATACTACTATATAAAGAGACAATGTATTTTTCGTTTGTGACCACTAACCGTGAAAACTACTGAACCAATCGTTACCAAATTTTAACTGTAGCATCTTTATGACCCCCGGAATGTTTACCACTAATCAAACCTGCAGATTTTTTGTTAAACATTCATATAAATTAAAAGATATCATCTAGGGTTAAGGCTTTTATGTCCAACAGATGGCGCTACGAGTATGACGCCCTAAGTTTGCTTTTCTGTGAGGATGAACTAAAGCAGATCATCTTCTATCTATCTATATAAATAAAAATGTAATGTTCGTTTGTTCCTACCAATTCCTTTGAAATTTTCACACAATTCGAATACGCACGTATTTTTATATAATATACATGTCGAAATTCCCCCCACTGGGGGGAGATGAACAGGATTAAGGCTTACCATAAAGAACTCTGCTTCTATTTCTACTATTTTAGATGCGGTTTTTTGCGTTTTTGATTGTGTTTTAATAGGGTATGCCGAGAGAATGTACACTAAGAAATTTTTCGAAAAATTTCCCCCCACACGGGGGAAGTGTTATACATTTATAATAGATACATTTTGAGCCACAACAACGCGTGGCGGGGTCTGCTAGTTGGAGTATAAAAATATTGACATTGTAGAGAGGAAATACATAATTTCAAAAGAGATAAAAAAAAAATAGTTAAATCAGAATAATGTAACAAATATATAAAAAATCATTTGAATGAAATACTTGAATTAATTTACCTTTAATTAACTTTTTAAATTTTGATAATTTCTGATATTCAATAATAATGAAACTAAAAGCAATATTGGGCAATATTCATTTTACCAGCTTCAATATTGGAAAGTATCATATCAATAAATGATTATTTGATAATATTGAACAATAATATACTGCTGCTTAGATCAACTGGTGTGCAGTTTATCTCACAAAACAAATTAGATGGGCAATTATTATTATAAGAATATTTATGTATGCAATTATTGCAGGAAATATGGTAGCTGACTTCAGATTAGCAAAGTTACACCTCATTCCAGTTTAACTATCTTGTTTGATGTTTCTCACAAGTTTTAAAAAACATTAATTCTTCCTTTCAAGGATTTTCAGTTACTGCTAGATACCAATGTTTTTATGACATTTTTTTTAATTTGTAAAATAAGATACTCTGAGAACAATATTTCAAAAAAATTTTATCCTTTGCATATTTTTTACAATTACATACATTATTATTCACTATTAATGAATTTTGAATATGGTAAATTTCTACTGCTAAATTGTTAAAAGAAAGTGACTTATTAGATTTATCAAAAACTTGCTTTATCATTAGGAGCCTGTTTATCATAAAATGTAAAATTGAAATTCAGAACCTGTTTTTGTATTTAGTGAAAAGTAGACATTTCTGATGATGAACCAGTACATTTCATAGTACAAAGTATAAATGAATATAATCAAAACAGAATGAGTCCAAAGTACTTGGGGCTCATTCTGTTTTGATTATATTCATTTATTTTTTGTTTTTCTATAACTAATATTTTGGATAGTAGGATGGAGAAATCACTGAAATTGGCATTATATGTGCATTTATCACAAGTATTTTCAACGATCCTAATGTTGTCGTCGTCAGGTGAATACACCTGATCCTGAATAATGCCAATCTCAGTGATTTCTCCATCCTACTATACAGTATTTGGTGTGAACATCAATCCATGAATATTAGATTTTGGATATTCGTAAAAATTGAAGATTAATCTCAAAGTAGGTCCAGACTTGTTGCATAGCCTCATATTATATTAGTGTGGATGGCATTTTTGCCGCCATATCAAAGGAATTATATGCAATACAGGAAAGCAGTTTGGACTTGGACATGTTTTATCAGTCTATTGTTTGAGTTCCACATTGGAGTTCAAATGCTATATGCTAAAAGTTTGTGTTTTTTCTGTATGTTTATATTTGGAGTGGTGTGAAGTAAGAAGGAAATTATAAAATTAATTGATGAATACAAGAAAAGAGATGTGATTTGGGATCCAAAAAACTGAATGCCAAAAAACACAGTATCACTGCCAACCTTTCCTGAACAAAACTGCTTTTTTTAAACACTGTATTATTGTTATAAATTTCTAATCAAAGTGATCAAAAACTGAAAATCTGATGGATGCATCTTTGTAAAGTTTTTGTACATCCCACTCATTAATTGAAAATTAAGGCTTTCAATGGATTTGACCAATATAAACATCCCTACTTGTGTAAGGTTGCCGACAGAGTGCAAAAATGTCAAGAGGGTCGAGCAGTCGCAAAGGGTTGTATTTGGGTGATTGGCACTGAGAGAGAATCTACGGTTACAAGAAACCATTTATTTGACATGAAAGAAGCTTACAAGATTTCCACGATCTTGGAAGTTCTACGTTGGCAGCAGCCTCTGGGTCGTCCTCTTTTTCCAAGATAGTCCCATTTTGAAGGAGTGTCCTTGGTTTGCAAATGACCAATTCCATCGACATCTTGACAATTCTGGGATGATGTGGTCAACCTCCATTGATGGAAAGATGTCAATCTGAGGTCGGGAGATGGAGACGAAGATGAAGATGGGCCCACACACACACACACACAAAACAATAGATCCATTACTTGGAACTTTCAGGAAAGAAGCTGTTGCATCCTTGAATTCTCAAGTTTTATCCGTTTTCCTCCGGTTTCACTTTCTGATTGGTCTCTCTCGTCACCTGGTGACAATTCAAAACCTTTCGGGGGCACAGGAAAGGTCAAAATCAAAGTTTAATTCGATTCCCATCCAGAGATAGTTGATCTTCGCTTTTCCATTGTTCTATTGTTTAGTCCAATCTCCTCTTCCAGCATATATAAGCTAACGAACCTGTTTTATATGCTGGAAGAGGAGATCGGACCGAAGATCTGGGTAGTGTAAGTCTATTCTTTATTAGTTCTTAAAAGTTTCCGTCGTTTTCATTAAGAAAAAGTATTTCTAACTTCTATTTTTTTTCTCAAAAAAAAAAAAAATTATTTTGTCCTTAAAAATAAATTAATTTAATGTGAATTTCAATGAGTTTTGGACCTGTCCAGAGCCTTACACTTGCACAGATGCACAAATGCCCTATTATTGTTTGCAGTATTACTGTGAAAGACCGAAATTAGAGAATGTCAATATTCTCTGGTGAATGTTGACACATACAAAATACATTGGTGAAAGATTGAATATTTGATTATACATTCGAACAATAGCTGGTATATGTTGACAAGCACAAATAAGCTTTGGTGGAGGTCGAAACAATACATGAGAAGCCGATGTCGACAGAGAGGCGACAGTCTGTCGCCAAATTCTTTGCCATTTCCTTCTGCTTAAATTGGTGATACCATACGAATACAAGTCCTTGATGTCGACCGTGGCCGTACAGATGCTTGAAATGTGTTGGTGGTTGTTGTTGGAATAGAAGACTCCGACTTTTATAAATTAGCAAACAAAATTACCCTCAAGCAGCTTTATACCCGTAATCAGTTCGTAATTTGTAAAGAAAAGTTACTTTCCATAGATGATATTTATATATATATCTATATATTTCTTCTCGAGAAATATCGCCGAGAGAAGCAGCTGCAGCTAATTCGAAAAGTGGAGGGCAACGCTATATATGCTATCATTGCAAAAAAAAGCGATCCACAAATAGATGCAGTTGTAAAAGCAAAGGACTTGTGCAATTCAAAGTGCCATAACAGTTTAAGTTGTTGCAATAAATAAGATTGTATAACGTTAATCACATAATTTATGTGTAAGTTTATTATTGTATTATTTTCTTTAATGATTTAGAATGTACTGTTCGTTTTAGGTTCAACAGTTTATTTACATGTGCTGTTACTTAAACTTTCTCCTATTTTGACATATTAAAAAGTTGCTTTTTTGTCTTAATGTAATAAAAATATTTTTATTCAACATTCACTATCAGTGAATGCTGAATGTCGACATTTGCCAGTGTAAGTGAGAAATAATGATATTTAGCAAATATTTTGTACATACACAAAATGACTGTGTGAATGCTGACGTTCACCGGAGAATGTTGACATTTGCCAGATATCGGTCATTCACAGTAACACAGTCACTGCTATGGATGTGATGATTACTCCTTAAAATCTGGATCCACATTCTGGAGCTTCACTTCATTCCCTGATAGTATAAGGAAACAAAATACAGGATGTAGGAAGAAAATGAGCCATGTTGTATTGTATTGTATCACCAGATTGATATGCCATGATGGTATGACACAAAGATACACAAGTCTGGATCCATCTTTAGTTTTAAATTTGTTAGATTTTTTCATTCAATTGAAATTAGATTATTCTTAATCTATTATTATTATTATTAATCTTTAACTTAAATTAGTAATATATATTTATTATTAATCTCTGAAATCCCAAACCATCATTTTTTGACAACAAAATGTAATGCATGCATAGATTCGTCACCTGGCCATCCAAGTTTTATTTTGTCTATGGTGGTCATTGCTGTTTCTCTTTATGGTTGCTTGGCAGTACTGAATTGGATTTGCTGCAGATGTAGATCACCACCTCCTCCACATTCATTGGAAGAGGTGGTTGTCCAGCTGGCTTCTTTTTGGTGATATGTGAAAGGCACAGTTTGCATATCCAAACATTCTGATTCCTTCAGGATCTCTGGAAAAGATTCAACCACATTGTGGAGGTCATCACACTGGAAATGCTTGATTGGGTCTTGCAGACATTTGACTATCAGTTGGATTTGTACTCGGTGACCAAAATTGTGCATGTTGTGTACACAGAAGTACTTAGATACACACTACACTTGACCAGTTGCAGTTCATTTGAGATGGTATCCTTATAAAATAGGAAATATAGAAAATACATTCAGTGAAACCCCCATATTCTTTTATCAATATCATGTACAGTACTTACATGCATAAATTTTGTTTTATTAGAAAATATACAGAAAAATTTGAAAATGATGAATTTAGATTTGTTTCAAAATCATGATTGTTAGTTTTCTTTCAAAATTGTGTGTATAATAACACTGTTAATTTCTATATAGAAAAGCAAGAAAGAAACAAATGAAAATTACACTTCCATAAGCAATGTATAAATTTATATCTTTAGATATATGTATATAGTTTAATGTATAATAATTTTTCTGTTTTTACAGTTTGAGAAGTCTTACAACTGGAGAATCATCATCATTTAGGTATATTTGTTTGATTTTCAGTTTTTTATATTTTTGTATTGATTATTTACTAATTTTTGAAGAATTTTTTATTAAAAGTAACAGCAAAAACTGGATAGGATTCATACAAACAATCACAAAAATCCAATAATCCATGAACTAAAACTTATGGTTTTAGTAATAAATTGTTATTTTCATACTGGATTACTCAAATTTTTTTATTGTTGAATATTAAAAATTAAATAATTATTGATTTAATAAAGATTAAATAAGATTTTTTTAAAATGATATGCTGAAGTGGTTGAAGTGTCAGCCTAACTGCTGGGGATCCAGGATCAAATTTGGGTGATAACTCCAGGAACTTTTCATGGACAGTCTGTCTTTGATATGTTGGACCCCATGTCTCATCACCTGGCTATTGTTGGCTTCTTGAATCTGTGATAAGTATGATTCAAAAGGCTGTTAGTGACCATATGATGGAAAGAAAGAAAAATAGAAAAAAAGTTGACCAGTTGACACAATTTAGAAGATACTATATGAAAAAAACTGTTTCCAAATTTTAATTTATTTTGAAAATATGATTGTGAAATTGTGAGCATTCAAATATGTGATAGTTTAAAATATGGTAGAAAATGAATTCAGACATTTACATTATGTATTCTTTATTTTGACATTCTCTAAATTAGTGCATTTTAATTGACTTTGTATAGATCCTAATTCTATAATTCAAGATTATAAATTTATTGACTGACATATAAAATTATTTTTAAGAGAGTAAAATTTTATAACTGAATTATTTGCTCTTTTAGTATTTGTGAAAATATGATGAAATATTTTTTTATTATTACAGATATGTGCATTGTATATTTATTAGAATCTTATATTTTTAGATCAAACCGAACACTTAATTATAGAAATTGTAATTTAAATGCAGGAGCTGATCTACTACACCAGTAAGTGTATTTTGACAATTAAAAATGAATTTATAATGCACTGTTTTTGCTATAAAAATTTCTTATTAGTTTTATGATAACTACTGTTTTTGTTATAAACATTTTATATTAATTTTGCATTAATCACACTGTTTTTTAAATAAAATTTTAATGTAACTTTTTCAAAAATTTATGCTATATCAATATTGAAGTAAAATTTTATTTATGTTAGTTATCAATGTAAGTGGGAAGATCTTCATAACATAGCAGAAGAAAATGCAAAAACAGCCGAGGTATTTTTATTACTTTTATTTTTTTAGAAATGCTTTATATGAATATTTATTAAGTAAATTTTTATGATGATTGTTATTTATAGAATATTGATAAGCTGATAGGTGATGTTCATAAATATAGTGAAGAAAAATTAAATGCAATACAGCAACTCAACTCTCAGTTAAGTCTTCTGCCAAAGTTGCATAATAGTATTCAAGCACTAATGACTAAAATAGGTAAGTTTAATAACCTGCAAACACTTTATACATTTTTTAATGTAAAATACACATTTTATACATGTTCTATATAAAATAACTGATGATGTCTGTTAAAGACAGACAAAAACATTCATATCAGTAAAAATATTGGAATATTTTTTTTCTGGTTTTGGTGTCTGTGTATTTACATTTTTTTGTGGTGATTTGTTTTACTGTGTGTGGTCTTATAATTTTTAAATACTGCAGTATTTAATTTAATTCAGTTATGTATGCATATAATGTGTATATATATATATATATATATATATATATATACAGACACTATATGCATATATGTTTGAATAGTTTCCAGAGACCTATAAATAAAGTCTGCTTTAATTAAGTATTGTTTATTCTTTTTTCCTTTTTCTTAATAGGTGAATTGGAAGGGCTTTTTGAAGAAGTAGAAAGTTCAATATTATATTTAGAAGATATGATTGAAACCCAAGAACTTCAAGAAAAACAACTTGATTACAGATTTCAACTTGCTCTTTTTCAAAAAAAGAAATTGGCAGAATATGAACAAACTAAAGGTTTGTAGAATTTTATTATTATTTTAAAAATGAATTGATATTAATTTATTTTGTGACATAGATTAATTTTAACTCTTAATAATAACTCTGAAAATAATAATTTTTTTTTATAGTTAAGTTGGCTGGTGAACATGCTTATAAAGTCTTAGAATTTGAACAAAAACAACAATCAGTTTTACAAGAAAGACAAGAAGCATTTCGCGAAGCATTTGAAGAAGAAATGAATCACTATAAAGCTCATGGACGTATTGAAAGTAAGATACGATGTCTCTTGTATGAATTTTTACATATAAATTATAAAAAAATCATTATACAGAAATTTTATCAAAATAAAAAAAAATACAAACATTCCACACGCATTTTTTTCAAAAATGTAGTCATTATGCTAAATACATTTACAACAAAATGATAAGGCAAATTGGACATAAAACTTTTAGAATAACATATCATATAAAAAGAAATTTTTGTTAATTTTTATGATCTTACTAGTTTAATTTTTAAAAGATACCAGACTTAAATCTTTTGCAGAAAATTAGAATTATGTTATGAAATAATCTGAATTAGAAAAAATAATAATAAAGTATATTTGTTTTTTGAAGATTTTTTTTCAATACAATGAAATGAATTAATTTCATTATATGTGATTATACATTAATATTTCCAAAATGTTGAAATCATGTTATAAAGTGAAGCATAATTATTAAAACGTTATGAATAAAGCTTTGAATATATATTTTTTCCTTATTTATAAACTGCAGTTTTCTTACAAATGAGAAGGTAAAATATAATTTGGAATCTATAAATTTTTCCCCCATCAAAATTACAGAATTAAATAACATGCTGCATTTTGATATTGTAAATTCTAACTAGATTTTATAACAGATAGATAAACAATTTTGTATTAAATATCTAAATTTTTTACAGGAATTTCTAGCTGTAGTAGTGGGAGTGGTGTGTTGCTTTCAGATATCAATTTAGAAAATGATAGAACTGATCTAGATGCCTTTTTGGCTGAAGAGGCAACTGAAAATTCATTCATTCCAGGTAAAATTATCATTTTTATCTAATACAAAAAGATGTTATTTGAGGGGCAGTTTTTAGTTCTTTATTAGTTTGCTAGGTTGGGTGTTATTTGTAATAAGAATAAAGGTAAAAAATATATTTAATACAAAAAATTTTGTCTTCACAATCATAATTCATCATTAAAAATTTACATTTTTAAACTGTGTACATTTTTTAATAAAAAGTTGTTTTTTTGTAAGTGAAGATTTGATTTTTTTTTTGTTTGTTTGTCAATGGTGTCTGTGAAATGAGAGATTCTGAAGACAATTTTTTTTGTATTAAATATATTTTTAACTATATAAATTACCATTGGCCATTTTTTAAAGAAGAATAAAGGTATTGAATAATATCTATCAATGTAGGATTTAAAATTCATAAATAATTTAATAAACTAGAATAAAAATAAAAACTTTGCAAAAAAACAAAAAAAAAATTATATATATATATTATTTTACAGCCTTTAAATCTTCAGATTTTAGCTTATTATTTAGAATTATTTAATTGATAGTTGATGTTTCTTCTAGTGATCACTTAAAGTATAGATTGTGTCAGATACAGAATTTTCTATTGACTGAAAGTAAATTTAATCTATTTCTATTTCTATTAATGTAGTTGAAAACAAAAAATTGCATCTAAAATAGTACAGTAGAAGCCATTCTTCAGGTTAAGGCTTAATGCTCTTCTCCCCCCCATGGGAATTTCAAAAAAAATCCCTTCTTAGCGTATTTTCATGACGCACCCAGTGTACCAAATTTCACCTCTAGGCTCAGCAGTTTGCTCTGGGCGATGATGAATCAGTCAGTCAGGACGAATAATTTTATATATTTAGATATGATGAATTATAAATAATAATGAAATTTAATTATATTTTCCAGTAACAACAGAACAGCACCTTTCAAGTGAAGAAACTGACACTTCCACAGATGTTGAGAAAGTCTAAAGAATTTTATGCATTCCTTCTTTAAATTAAAATGAATGTAAATATCTATTGTCCTTTTATGTCAAATCTTATAATCAAAATGATAATGTTTTATGTATATTTTGATTTCTTAATATAAAGATGATTGAGGGTGACTATGAATGATGGCTATGTAAAGAAACAGTTGATTATAAATAAAATTAATTTATTCCCTACTGATGTTTATTGTTTAGAACTGAATTTTCTGTTACGGTGGGCACTAACTGTGTTCGGAATATAAAAATGTTAATGTGATGGAAAATATATAAGAAAACAAGAAAAATGGGAATGTATTGTGCCCATCCCCATTTCAAAAGTTGCCAAAATCCTGTTTTATATCTTAATTACAGATTAAGGAATAATAAATATCTAATATATATATATATATATTAATATTAATAATGAAGTGTGCAATGCCATTTTTTTCTCTAAATGCATTTTATTGAATTGAATTCTAAATATAATGTTTTCTGCTGCAAAAAAATATTGTGGTGGTATTAGCACTAATTGGCTTCATATAAATTCAAAATACAATGCTTAAAGCTCCAAACTGCAAGTCAAGTGACTTTTGGCACTTAAAAATTAGATTTATATTTATGTCATTTTGATATTCCAGAGAATTTGTAACCTAGTGAGTTTTTTAGCATTTACAAAATTATGGCATTGCACACTTCATTTAAAAATTTTGATTTTTAAAATAAAAGGATACAAAATTGTTTGTTCAGGATAAAATATTGTAATATTTACTGTAAATGGAGAATTGTCACCTCTTCCAGTTGTCCAGACAGGATAAGAATGTTTTAAATAGGTAGTAACTGAAAAATAAAATTATTCAAGTGAATAGAAATATAAATATAAATAACTTTGCTGAATGCAACAGTGATTGAAAGCTTTAGTAAGTAATACAAACCCAAAGCATTTTGGACACCTTGTAGGGTATCTGAGAAGTTACTACACAGTGAGAAATTTGTAATGACATTAAAGTTATGTGTATGGCATTGCATTTGAGACCTGCAAGTTGTTTGTCTCACATTACCACTTTCTCTGCTTATTACATAATCTGCCATGGAGTCTGTCCTATTAGATCTCTAGACCTCACTCCAGATTTGGAGCCTCCTGGAGACTTTCTGTAGGAGAAACTGCAATTTTGTGTATAGAACTTCACTTTGATTAAAATTTTACTTAAACCTTTTCCATTGCACAGTAAGTAACTTTCCAGATACTCTGCATATCCTATAATTTTCTTTCAAACAATATTTAACTGAGGGATCTCTGGTAGTGCCAAATGCATCTGGTTTATTCTACATGTTTGACTATTACATAAAGCATATTGCATTTTTTAATTTATTATTTAAAGTTAAGTATTTCTACATAAATATATTGCAAGTCAAAGTAACAATAGTGATGTCGGATATGATATTAAGATTCTCATTTCTTGTTAACCTAGAATCATTCATTGAGAAATTAATTTTAATAATTGTTAATATAGTAAAAAAGAAAATTTGATTTCCAAATTTATGGAATTAACAAGCAATGACTCTCAAAGCATATTGTTAGGCATTGAACAATGCAAGAAATTTAAAACAGTAACAGCTCAGATATTTTTAAAACAACCATATTATTTCTCTTGTAAGAATACCAGATAATCTTCAATGCTTTTGCACATATAAGTATTACCATATATAGAATATTAATAGATTAAAATGTTTGTTTTGTGTGTGTTAGGCTTAAAGAATGAAAATGTTTATAATTTATAAAGAGCCAGGATGTGAAATTTTATTGTCACAAACAAAATTTGTTAGTGACCACAATGTGTTGTTATACAATGCCCTGTTGAAATTGCAGCAGAAGCAATCAGGTTGGTCTTTATCAGCAACTTTTGAGTATCCCTGAGAAAATTTATTTACTTAGTTGTATAGAGCAATATACAACTACTAATCATTGTAAACAAGAAACATTTTCTTTGCAGGAAGTCCTTTTGCCCACAAAAAATGTACAACTCCACACTCCTCAAACATGGTCTCCATTCTGAAAGTGAACTGGACATGTGCATGTAGATCCAGAATCTACTATCTCAATCATCAAGGTGGATTTCACTGCCACCTAATGACACTTTTACAAATTAGCAATTGCCATTTTTAGCTATTGCATATTGGTTTTCGATCTATTTGCTGACTTTTCTTCACAGAATTATATTTTAAGACCATTGCTTAGCTATTTATTTATTAAAAAAAAATGGAGAAATGATAATTTCAAAACTTTCAGCTTTAAGTCATTTATTGTTCATCTTAAAGGTTGTATCTTTTGAAATAAATGTTTGAGGTTATCTTTGTTAATGAATTATTAAGTTTATTAACAAACTGTCTTTCAGATTAACAACAAACTGAAATTATAGAATTCATTTTCCACGAATTATTAAATTATTTATTTAAAGATTTTATTTTTATTATTTCATTTTATATGTAGAAAAATTATCTAAATCAATACATTAATTAAATGTTTAATTAAACAAATTAATTAAAACTGACCGCTTCTAGATGCATATGATGACAATATAGATTCTAATCTGTAATCATCAATATTTGTTGACAAAGGATTAACGACAGGTGTCTGAAAATTATAATTTTTAACTTTAATTAATTTTTGGTAACACAGTCTCTATGCATTAAAAAATATCAATAATAAATACAAAATAATGGAATTTCATATAAAATTTCTTATAATATACATGTTTTCTTATGAAACTAAATAAGCAAGTTTTGTGAGATTTACTTATAAAATCTTATAAAAGTATAAAACTATCCAATTACAGATGAATAATTTCTAATCAGACAATAAAGTTTTTATATTTAGTCTAATTTTGCATCATACAAATACTTCTAAATGCATTAAACAGGGTTTCCCATAAAGAATACTATCATTTTAAATTATTATAATAACGTTTTCAGATAATGATTAACATAATAACGGACAGTTCTCCGATGTTTTAATACATGTTTTACATTAATAAATTGTAAAGAACCAAAATGTCCATCACACATCCAACTGATACTCAAATTCTTTGTAGACTTATTTACAGCATATCTATTTTCACTTCTCACACAACAGTCACATTTCTATAGCTCCTGCATATTAATCATATTGCACAATGGCATTACATACTTCTCAGATAAGAATTAACATAATTATAGTAATTAAAACTGGTAGCATTCATTTTGGAAGACCTTGTCTAATATATAAGAATATTATGAAAAGTTTTCATTTCAGATATCAAAATTAATTCAATTAATTTAGTACCCGAAATACTATTAACAACAAAAACTGCTTCAATTATTTAACTTACATTAAATCTAACATCATGGCCTTTATGATTAAGAGGTTCCTTCTGACTTAACGCCAAATCTCCAACAACAGAAAGTGAAGCACCAGGTAAAGGTGAACTATGATGAATGTAAGCTAATCCTTCCATTATGAATTCAGAGTATAACTGAATGATGCATTTAATTTAATTCATTTTATAATGAATAAAATTAATTTTTGGCTAATAAATACTTACATGGAGTTTATATTCAAAGAATAACATCAATTTTATGGAATGTACATTTTCTTTACTGGTTACAGGAACATCTAATTTAATATTAAGTATGTCATTTTTTCCATCTCTGTTCACATCATCTTCTCTGTTCTATTTTTGAAAGAAAATACATATATATTTAAATTTTATTTTAATAATTTATTGTTGTTTGCTCATTTATTTTTAAATATAATTTTAAAAGAAAAAAATTCACTTCTACAAAACTGTGTGTTATTTAATGTACACTTATCAAATTAAATAAAAAAGGCTTCATTAGAATGTTAGTAACCATATACAAAATAAATAAATGCAAAGTTTGTTAATAAATTAATAACATAATTAATTGATAATAGATTAACAAGAAAATTGTGACAAATAGTTCTTCAAAAATCTTCAGACTATTCTAAATAATATTTACTTCAGTTATAAATTATATATACAGAGTGGGAACTTACATCACCCCCTCTTTTTTGTTCTTGTAAATGAAATATTGAGATATTGTATGGCACAACATTATATTTTATTTGTCCAGAATATCAATATGAGCTCCATTGTCATAGCAGAGTCTAATATGACATCATGTTTGCAGAGATATTCACACAACCATCAAAAAAGAAGGGTCCAAAAATCATTGATATTTAGACAAAGCCACTTTCCAACATCCCTTCTTTGTTGGTGGAGGCAGGAATAGCAAATGCTGCTATCTTTCAACACGATGGTACTTGTGCTTGAATAAAATATTCCTTAATGGATGGATTAGCCATGGATCCAAAGCATTTCCAGCACCTCTCCCACAGCCACCAAAATCACATTACCCCAACCTTATGATACCAAACAATATTTTGTGGGACTTCATCAAGAAGCCAGTCAGTTAGTCAGTCAGTTGACAGAAGATTCGAAGAGTGATAGGATTATTTTTTCTTGTTACAATAGATTAACTCACAAAACATGCTGGCAAACTTGGTGTCCTATCAGACTCTGTCATGACCATGATATAGTCATATTGATATTCTGGGCAAGTAAAAAATGATGTATGTTCTGACATGTTATATGTTCGAAACTAAACAAAAGTATATTTTTAAAAAAGTTTTAAAGAAATGCTTTTTATTCATTTAAATGCACTAAGAAGTAAAAAAATACATTTTCTTCAGCTTTCACAGTATTCTTGGTATTATGTGACCAAAAATAAAAGCTTGGGTACTCATGGGAAGACCATAAAAATTGATAGAAAGTGTAACTAAGAATATTTCTAAACATGAATGCTTCACACTTATGTTTGGTCATATACAGTAATACCAAGAAGATCAGAAAACTGAAGAAAATTTATTTTTTACTTTTTAGTGCATTTAAGTGAATAAAAAGCATTTCTTTAAAACTTATTTTTATATATTTTTTATTTTCTACCTGTTAGTTTTACAGTAAGATCCTGCTTAATGCAGGGGATACATTCCTAGATGACAAAGTGCTAAATGAAACAGTGTTAAATGAGATAATTTTAACATGGAGTAAATAGGGAAAGGGAAACACGCGACCAAAAATAAACAGATTTTATTTTAATTTTAAGTTATTTTTATATTAATTTGCATAATAATATAGGTTAAACAACACAAACATATGCACACAGAAATGTAAAGTTTCATTTTTTGTAATGAAGGTCTGGACTTTTCTGAAATTCTTGTTTTTTGCGATAAAGTTGTATAGTTTTCATTTGTCGCTTCTTTTTCTTTCCTTAAGCAAATGTCAGTAGCAAGAGATTACATCCAAAATGCCTCATCTTGCTTTTGCAATCCTTTCAAAATCTGGATCATTCACTACAGTTTGATCAACGATTTCAATTATTGTTACCAAACTTTTATTAAGGAAATTTGTAGAGAAATTCTTTGGGTTCTTCATTTTCAGAATCACTATTTTCCAGTTCTACATGAATTCCATGTTCTACCAGTTGTTGATAGCTGTCGGTAAGACTCTCACTAGAAATCTGCAGTAACTCCTCAATATGCTGCTCGTCTGCATCTCCTAGTCCTGCTGTACCAATTAGGTTGACAATTTGGTCAACCTAACAATACGATAGGCTCTTCTTGTTGAGAATTCTTGGATATCTTCAGCCATAAGTTCTTCCACAGTTCATTCATGCACTTATCAGTTAATTCTTGCCAGGCAAAGTCGATATTGTCTATGGCATCCACAATGTTATATTTTTTCCAAAATTGCACCAAACAAACATAGAAGGAAAGTACAGCACTCTGATGAATTGTCACTTTTTGCTGATTAGTTGGTAATAATTGTATTATATACGAATCAATGAAATGCCGCTATAATTTGAATCAGTGTAAATTTTGAGCTGTTTTTTTTTTTAAGGCTTCAAGCAGACTGCATTATATTGAATCAGTGTTAAGAAGCATCTTACTGTATATATGTAACACTGAATTATTGAAATTCTTCTTGGTTTAGCATTTAATTGGGAAGTGGGTGAAACATTGAGTTATAAGATTCTATGTCAACAATACAACTAAAAACAGGCAAGGGTTTTCCCTATGTGTAGCACCATCTGTTATCAGATTTTTACAAATTTTAATTTTTCATTAATTTTTTGCTAATGGTTAAAATTGTTTGCAAACTCTAAAAAAATGCATTGCCATTGGAAATATATATGTATGCAAAGTTTCAACTAGATCAGAAATTGAAAAGTGTATGAAAATTGAGTTACTTTATCCAGACAGATGATAGATGGATAGACAAATAGCTAACCTGCCTTATACCACACACTCCAACCTCTGTTGGTTTCAATTTCATATCAACAGACATCCACATACATGTATTCTATATCTAAAATTAGGCTAATCTCATTGTCAAAAAAAAAAAAAAGTATGATTTTTACTTACAAAATCTGACTTTTTAGTTCAGTTTCTTGGGGTGATTGGTGTTGATTGCTTTGTTGATGTGTCAAATTCTCTGTAATCATTCTTATGAGATTAATACCATTATTTTTGGAAATTTAACATATTATCTGTGGACATCTTGACATCAACAGACTTTATTGATGAACAATGGAGTGCTTTGATGGTCAGTCATAGAAATATCTCATAAACAAGTATTTATTAGCAGCTAATTTTTTTCACAAAAAATCATCTTTTGATTAGTATTTATTGTGACTAAATGTTCATCAAAATCAGTGAGATTTGGGATATTTCCTTGTAAATATAAAATAGCTAATCCCTGTTTTGTATAATTTTCAGAGATTAAAAACATTTGTGGTTGACTACACCTAGACACTATACTTATGGAACTCAAAATCATGTATGAACACAGTGTTTGTGGCACCCATGCCATAAGCCATAAGTATAGTGTTACAGGTATAGTCTAACTATAAAATACCATATGACAATTTGTTTATGATAAGCGATTATGACATTCATAGAAATTGGCCCATTTGCTTTGCTCGTGTCCCAAATTTCCATTCGTGCAATAATTGCCTATATTATAAACTAATTGCATAATATACTATTCTACAACTTGATTTTAGCATTCCTTCTATTTAAGCCAAATAGGATTTCATTTATAACAAATCCAATAGTGCCTTCATTACAACATTGTCTGTCGTACTATCTGCTTACATTGCAAATTGTACAGATAATTTATATTTTCATATACATGATACAACTTTGTATGTTCATTCATTGTGAAAAATTTTATATATTTTAGGAGAAAACAATGAAAATAATAAAACAAAAGTGTCAAACGTAATGTTGAAAATTGAAGTTTTGGGTCATGTTGGTGACAACTTTATGTCCCTCAGCTCCCATCCCTAGCACAGCTTAGCTACTCCATTCCTGTTAATCAACTCAACTTCACATCCACAACTAATTTTCCCAAAGCATAATTAATTAATTAATGTGTCGAGTTTCCCTATATGTAAATACAATGGTTTGCAATATACTTTCCATGTTATCTGAATAATACATAAAAAAAACTAAGAAAATTCCCATGAAAGATGTGTCAGTAGAGATACTGATTATCTCCATTGCAAAGCATTTTCTTGGAACAAGCAACTTACATCAACAACAAGTTGAAGAAGAAAAGTTAGAAATATTCTATTTATACAAATACCATTATTATTTTTCAATATATATTAATTAGCAATTTTTAAGTTAATAGAAATATTAACTTACAGTTATTAAAGGAATTCGGATATTTTGATATGTTATTTCATTTAATCGAGGATAAGAACTCCAAAATAATAAGTTATCTTCACTAGTCTCGACAATTAATAGTAATTCATGCTTAAATTTCACTTGAGGTTGTTCTCTGTAGAATTCGATTTTTTTCCAGAATCCTGTAAACAATAACGTCAATCTTTTAAAGGAAATTATTTTAAATCGAGCGGATAAAAACTGATTTACTCACCTTCTGTTCGGTATGCGATTATAAACGGTAACGTTATCATGAAAAATGTCGATACAACATAATATATTGTGGCTTTCGAACAAATCGTTGTTTTATATTTAGTATGAACCGAATGTGAAAACACTTCGTACACGACCATGCTTGCTCGTCACATGTAAACAAATGTTGGTGTTGCCAGATCGATGAAAAATATAATATTTTTTCGAAGTTAATAATTCTTTCAAAAGGAATGAATTGAATATTAATAAAGAAATTTTATTTGGTAAAATTAAAAATAAATAATTAACTAGGTTTATTATTAATTTATGTACATTTGATTTAAAATAATATATGGCTAACGTAAGTTTTTTTTTTGTTTTTGAACTCTTTCCGCCCTGTGGACACTAAGAGGGCCTCGTTTTGCAAGCCCATTATGGGTTCGGCCAGACCCACAATGGAGCGGCCGGGTGGTGAGGGACGGGGCCCGACATATCCGGACGGACCACTCCCGAAAATTTCCTGAGGACTTTTTGACTAGTCCGGATTCAATCCCGGGTCCCCCAGAGCGGTAGGCTGCCGTCTTCACCTCTCGGTCATCCGGCCGTCGACGTAAGTGATTAAGACGACAACCTTCCTCTCGGGAATCCGAGACGGTCGAAAAACCCAGGAATTTTTCGAGATGATCTATTCCGGATGTGTCGGGACCGTGGCCCTCAACACCCGGCCGCGCGGTGCCTCATTCTGGGCGTGGCCGAATCTAGAATGGACAATGAGCCCGATATAAAGACCTTCTTAGTATCCATAGCGGCCATTTTTTAAAACTCTTTTCGCCCTTTGGGCACTAAGAGGGCCTCTTTTAGCAAGCCATACTGGGCTTGCTAAAAAATTCGACCAGGCTCACAATGAGCGGCCGGGGAGTGAGGACAGGAACCGACGTATCCGTGACTGACCACCCGTGAAATTTTTCGGGGATGGTCCGTTCGGATATGTCCCTCACCATCCCGCCTCACACCATCACGCCGCCCCATTGTGGGCCTGGCCGAACCCATAATGGGCTTGCTAAAAAAAAGAGGCTCTCTTAATGTCCATAGGGCGGAGAGTTTAAATATATAACGTTAAAAATATATTAAAGTAAATGTTTTCATTAAAAGTACTTGTTAGACCTAATTGTTCGTGTAAAGTATTAGAAAATTTACTTCATCCAGGTTGGATTCAATTATGAAAGCAATTACAGGATCTATACCAAACCTATCTATAATCTGTTTTCAGCCTTGCTGATCTACACATAATTTTCTCTATTAATTTGAGTAACAGTCCACAGCAAATATATTTAATATCAGATTTTATTCTTGGCCTGTCGATTAAGAATAAAATCTGAATCATGCAAAAAACTCCATACGGGATACAAAATTAAGAGGACAATTAGCACATAAAATAGCGGGTTTTTCAAATCTGTTTTTCGTCTATTCTTATCTCTTATGACCCCTTTTTGAATGGGGATTGTTATCAACGACGTAAACGCAATTATAGTAACTTATTTATCAACTAACTGAGTCACCAGCAACTTGGCAATATTAAATTAATAAGAATGGTTTACTGTATAGAATTCATTGATCCAATGATTGTTTATTTTATTATTAATGTAAAAAGAACAAATCTGTGTAATAAAAGTAAACTTTACATTCAATCCTTGGAGATGGCAGATCTTTGAAATCATCATCATAAAACCCTTACAAATATTCATATCCCAGTTATGTGTCATAGTGTAGAATGTAGTAAAGATGTACTAATAAAAATAATCTTTCATTCAATAGTCATAGAATCGGATAGAAGCCGTTATGAATATTTATTCATAGCAATTATGCAATTTCACGAAATAAACAAGTATAAATAGCATAATTTAATTGATGAAAATGTAATAACAACATTCTAAAAATAATACAATTCTATCCGACATTTGTTTATTTTTCTTTATACATTAGTAGTAACAATATACACCCAATGATGACTAAGAGAATTACTAATCTGTACGATTTCCCTCCTCTTTAATTATCAATAACGTACTTATGATTCAGTAGTTTCAGTCATGCGATTCATAGAATTATCAATCAGCCGTTAAAATAAACACTCCACACCTATCTGACGTGTGTTATGAAGGAGTTTTCTCAAGTTGCCAAAGTAATTTTTCCTAAATTTTCATTTATTGAAAGACATACGAGAAAGATCTACTTGTATAAATGATATATACTGTATATAATAGTCTTATCTGGAAGTTTCATATCATCGAGTATGATTAAGATAGCTTTGTTATTATGGATTAAGTTACGATCAACGGATGAAAAGCACTGAAAAACTAACAAACAGTCCTATAATTGTTTAAGTTTATAATTTATAATGTAAATAAAGAAATAAATTCTATATAATTACGAAATGAACGGTACAGTAGATGTATGTAACCATAATGTGATCGAGTAAGCCTATAAAATAATCCATAAAGCAAAATTTTAGTAGTTGATGTACTCATTTTTCCTAATTATTATTTGTATATATGAGTGTATAATAGTGTAATGAATAAATATACTGATAAAATACATTTAAACTCGTAAAATCTGCGTTATAGTGGTGATCGGTTAATGAACATTTCGGACTAAGAACAAATCGGATAACGAACACGTCACAGAACAAACACGAGAAGTAACGACATAAAATAATGAATACCGATTGGTCTTCCCTTGTCTTCTGGAAGCAATTCGAAACTTTTCTCAGCGCGGGAGATGTCGACACCGACGCTCAACCCGGTATATACCGATCGGAAAGTATTCCTCCGAACTTTGAAACCCTCCCTTGTAATTCCAGCCTTTTATTTTTCTGACAGAAAGAATTTTTTATAATATTCGCGAGACTGTCGGGCGGGCACTCGTTAAGTTTTGCATCGGTTTTTATTTTCGGAAGGTGAGAGTATAACAGCAATAGTGGACAGAAGATGTCTGATGTTGCTGAGCAATATGACTTGAACAGGTCTATAGTAGGCCGCAGTTCAATCTTATCTAAGAAAGATACTGTATAATCAAGAAGACTCAAACAGCTAAAGGAGTAACAAAAATCACATCTGAGAAATAAAGAATATTGAAGCGCTCATAATGGAACCTTAAACTGATCTGACGACAGAAGAACGCCAAGAACTCTTGAATGAAGAACACCAAGAAACTCGGCGAGATATGTTTTCTTCTGAAGAAGAGGATTAATGCCGACATCTGCTATTGAAGTAGTGGGAGGATGTCAGAACAATGGTCTTAAAATGGCATCCAAACCAGGTTGAAGTTAATAGGCTTGGGATCTCTACAATGACAATGCTATTAATTACTTCCGAAAAATCCTGAAGAAAAGAGAAAAGCAATCGACATTAGACAGATTCTTTAACCCCCACAAACGGAAAAAAACATGACTAATAAAAATGCAAGACTGTGTATAGATGCATTTTTATTATTACATATAAACGTAGTAAGAAAGTATATAATTTTTTTTTTAATTTTTGGGTGTCTCTAGAACGGATTAATCAAATTCCCATAAAAATCTATGGCAAATCGATAATCGGTTAACGAACAATTCGGATAGCAAACAATATATTGGAACGGATTATGTTCGTTAACCGATCACCCACTGTATTTTGAATTTTTCTTTAAAATATTTAATAAGTTTATAACAAAGAGATGAGTTAAAATGGTCTAATACGTATAATTATTTTGCAATATTTTAAGTGAAATCTTTATTATATAGAGAGTTTTCTCTTGTTGCAATGGAAGAATGTTAGCAACCCAAAAGAAACAATTATAAATTTTACAATATTTTCTTTTTTCATAAACTATAGAAATTATATTACAAAAGAAATTTTTCTTTATAAATATTTATTAATTTATAACAATAAATTTAATCACATCATTAATAATTTGTAACATTTTGCAATGGAATTTAACAATTTTTGTTAAGTTAACTTTTATGAAAATATTTATATAGCATTTTTTCCTCATTATATTATGATTTTGCAACATATTGCGGACTTCCTTATATTAAAATAATAATAATAATAATATACACTTTGGACATCACCTTGTCCAAAATGCAGATTTATCAACTTGTTCTTGCATCTGTGAAGGTTATCTTCTGCAAAAATATATACGTTATTATTAAAAATCAGCCGATCTTTATAGCACGAAGAAATTTGCTTACAATATAGTAAATTAACGAACACAATCATTATTTCTGGGATAATTTAAGATAATTGGACACTAGAAATGATATTTTGACTTTTGCCTTTTAATGATGTCTCAAACAAGACATTAATTGAAAAGAAAGCCTTCTCTTAACTCGCTTCTTTCCCTAAGCAGTCTTGTAAAAAACCCAATTTATTTAAAATATTAGATGCCCGATATTCTTGTATTATTATATGCCATATAATAATTATACCAGACATCCTACACAATATATGAGATGCCCAGCATTAATTAATGATAAGAGAATCCTGTATCTATTGTATTTTTAGTACCTGAGCAAAAAATGATTCAAACAATGAATATTATAATTATAGTTATTTAAATGTTGAAATTAAAATAGTCAATAAAGTATCAGTCATGCTTATAAAAAACATTAGAAAAGATTGTATAAATGAGAATTACCCTAACTGTAATGAATGTTTTCATGGTGAATTGATGATAGCCTATGTTAAAAAGTGTTTAATTTTTTTACTTATTGTGTAATGTAAAATTACATCAGTTAATTTTAAATACTAAATAATAAATTAGCAAGTAATATGCTAATATTTAAAGATTATTCTGTTATCAAATTGGATTATTATATTTTCCAAAGGGGTAGGTTTATAAAATATAAATACACAAGAAAAATTATAGAAGGAAAAATATATAAATATATACTGTGTATTTGTTCCTTCTGAATTATTTTAAATTTTTTTTTTTTTTTTTGAAAAATTATAAAAAGATACCTAAAACATTTAAAAATATTATAGGAAAAAACTGAAAATTGAAGCAACTGGTCAACTGTTCTTTTTTCACATACACAAGCTACCCCTTTACCTTTTTATACCTATTATAATTGACATTTTGCAAATTTTGTTTATTGAAATGTAAAAATTTATCTTCTTATACCAATTTTTATACAGTAATTACTTAATCTTTTTATTGACTAATGTTTACCTGCATTAAAAAATATTTGGAAAAATTGTCTACTGTAATTATCATTAATAAAAAAATTACTAAAATTTCTATTGATAATAAAATGATTTTCATTTTAAAAAGTTTGAAAGTGATAAAATTCAAAAATTCTAATTTTAAAATTAAAATTTCACATAATTTATTTTATTTTTTATGTCAATTGTACAATAGTAAAATACTTTATATGGCTTATACTCCAGTATTATTTTAGTATTAGTTTTTAATTTATATACTCTTATTCATTTTTTGCGCTTTACGACGCGTAAGAGGGCCTTTTCTTTACCCATTGTTGGTTTGGCCAGGCCCGTAATGGAGGCGGCCAGGGCCCAGACTCTTTCTTAAACTATTACCATAGTTTAAGAAAGAGGTCTGGGGCAGAAAAGTTTCCATAGTTGCTTGCTCGGATTCGATCCCAGATCCCCATAGAGTGATCGCTGATCCATTAAGTCTGGGACATTCTAGTGTAGCCTAATTATATATCAAAAGATTGAATTATCGTATTTTGGATATTACTATAACATTTTTAAAATCAATATTACTGTCTAATAAACACAATAAATTAAAAATAATGGGTAATTTCATGTTATTATTATATTTCCTGTTACATTCAATGAGTAAGAAACAAAAAATGTAGTTAGCACTAGTAATAACGATCTGTCCATTCCTGACATCCATTTAAACTACACACATATATATATATATATATAAACCTTTTTTTATCTTTGAAAATAAAAGAAAACCAGAACAGGATCTATCATTAATAACGTGAAAATCCATTAATTAACATTCTTTTTTAATTGGTATCCGGTTTTCACTACTCACGATTATGGGCGTCAGCAGAAAATTTTCTAGAGGAAAGAAAAAGCTTAGAAACAAATAAAATAAAAATTTAGTGACGTAATTATTTAATCTTTTGGGCATTTTTTTCGTAAGTAGATTATATTATACATTACCTCATCAAATACCTCCATAGTCGAGAATTATAAACATGGTCATCCCCCTCTGCAGATGCCCATGCTTATGATCCTAAATTAAATGACTCTTATAAAATTAAGTTTATTTGCTAATCGTTTATGAATTATTTTTTCTTTGCCACTCGATCATGTTGAAATATTAATATTTGGTCATTGGATCTTAATTTATTTAATGTAAATGCTATCTTTACACCTTGCAATGCAAAAAAAAAACTCTGTTTCTAAGCTTTTTATATATTTATCAATCACAGATTAATAAATATATGAATTTATTAATATTCTTATATAATTAATTAACTTTTAAATTAAGTTTTAGTAGATCAGATCATTCGCTTATCGTTACCAACAGTCGGCCATCTTGTTATAGGTCTAAGAAAAAGTTCGATTACTTAACGTTCTTTAATCAGAAGACATTCAAGAATAATCAACCGTAGCATTGATAAATGCAAGTAATAATATCAAATTACTCTAGAATCATAAGCCGAATACAAAATATTGTGATTTGGCACGATTATTCCGTAATACTATATTTAGGCTCACACCCATCTTAGTTATTCGCTTGTATTCCTAAATAAAGAAGCTTTATCTTAAATCAATAATAAATCTTTTCAAGTGAAGTATAAAAATTTTGAGAGCCGTACTTCCCTTATTTAATTGTGCCATTCACTACGCTCATTTTAAATATGAAATTTTCTTTATAAAATAAAAGAATTATTTATCAGTTAAAAAATATATAATTTCGCAGCCGTTTCCATGCTTATTTTATTCTAATTTAATTAGCATTTTCTGTCATTTTAATTTAAAAAATGTGCCTCTGAGCAACTTACAAGGAAACATGTCTGCAAAGTAGAAAATTTAAGGCGACGAAATAAGGAAAATTAAAACAAAATTCAACTTTAAAGTCTTCCTAACGCTTTTATTTACATTTGTATTTGAAATTAGAGAATTTATTCATTGAAATTTAAATTATTCCAACGTCTAATTTCGTGTTATTTACGCAATAAAAATTTCATTGAGATAAATCGTTTCTCGTACGTTGCCAAGATTTTTACGAAATTTTAAATAAAAAAAATAAAAAGAATGAATGCCAAAAGTCAAGGATAATATTTATTCAAACATTTATTAATTTAATACGTGATTAGAGAAGTAAAAAATAGCCTCTAGAAACGTTTCCGTATAATAAATAGCAATTTATCATTTAACATACCCTCAACTATAGATAATTTGTAACGTTTTTATAACAAAATAAACTGAATAAATTTCATTAATAAGCGTTTTTATCCTCAAAATCTACAAAATTATATTCAAAACAATACAATTTTTGTTTTGAAACATTATATTTGCAAATCAGCTGAAGAGGCTAATTAATGCAGTAGACTCGTAAACATTACACAATTCGACCCCACGAATAATAATTAATGCTTAAAAACGTATTTAAAATTCAAAGACTAGTCTAATTTGATTACCAAACTAAAAATTTTTAAGTTAATTTACCTATATAATATGTAAAACAACAAATTTCTGCCTAATCATTATACTTCAAAGGGGTTTCAGTTTACGAACGTGCAGACAAAATTCCAGGAATATTCCGTTTTATCATCTTGATATATATTAATAAACGGTATTAAACGATACTACAATTTCATATTGAGCAACTTTAACCCGAAATTCTACTTAAGACAAGTTTTTATAAGTATGGCAATAGATTGCGACGAGTTAAACGATAAAAATTCTTTCTAATAAGGTACTCACTATACATAGAGACACGTAAAATTATATTGGGAAAAGAATCTAGAAGAGCTTATCTCTGTTTAAAATTCTTGAAATTAAATACGAGCACTTACATTAAGTACATTGAAAATATATTTACATTTATTTATATAATTATATTGTAGCTCTCGAACGAGTTTGAATCAGATTAAAAAGATACTTCAACGGATTTAGAAAGAGGCATCGGTGTCAATCAGCGAAGTATTTTACTAAAATTATCTGAATTGATCGTCGCTTTTTGCCGTTTTCTTTTCAAAATCTCCTTATTTGTACATGATTCTCGTTTGTTGGCATTCAGCAATTATTCATTTTATTAATAAACAGTAGCGGTTTGCAATGTGCGAAGGCCTTAACAATGTGTACTTTTTGAAGCCTCTTTTGTAGATAAATATAATTTGAAACCCATATCTCACGAAATTTGATCTAAGATCCTAGCCTCAAACATCCTTTATGATCCTATATCAAGATAGCCTCAAGCATCCTTCTTGAGCCTAGATCAAGATGGCTTCAAGCATTCTTCTTAATCCTAGATCAAGATAGCCTCAAGCATCCTTCTTGAGCCTAGATATCCTTCTTAATCCTAGATCAAGATGGCCTCAAGCATCCTTCTTGATCCTAGATCAAGGTAGCCTCAAGCATCCTTCTTGAGCCTAGATCAAGAAGGCCTCAAACATTATTATTAATCCTAATCAAGATAACCTTTTGAGGCTATCCTGATCTAGAATCCTTCTTGATCCCAGATCAAGAATTTTTGAGGCTAAAAAACACAAAACCCTAAGCAAGAGTCTAGGTTTCTACATCTAAAACCGCCATTTTTATTGTATAGTACGGTTCAAACTGCTCCATTTCTCTTCACATAAATTATCACTCGTTGATTTATTTTTATAAACTTAAGATTAGTTTTTTTTAACACGAATGCTGAAAGCTTATATCACAAAGTTATACAATATTGTAAACTGAATCTTCTGTTTAATAAATTAAACGAAATAAAATATGAATCTATAACAGCTGTTAAACATTAAGCAATATTAAAGATCAAAGGGCACGACACAAATTTAAATTATAAAGATTTATTCCTATCTCATCTTAAATTATAAAAGCGATTTATTAGATAATCCTTTTATATTTAATTTAAGAATATTTTCTACCAGTTTATCATTAAGTGCCTTATTTTGTTTACATTCTAATTCACTTTACATAACTTCGAATAAATGCGGAACAACAAACGAACGTATTCACGAAATAAAAATAATGTTTCTTTGTTTTATTTTATTTATTTTTTATAATTAAAACGATCCGCTCGAATTGTAAATTCTGTGGAATTAAAGCGCAGAAGCCGAAGGACTCAAGGTCAAGGAGAGAGAAAAAGGTTCAGAAGGAGAATTTAGTCCCCAGTCACATGACATCCCATAGCCTATTTAGTTAGTAGAATTTCGTAAGTGTTCTATAAGGAAACTTGGTCGTGAGGTACGAAACAGGTAGCTCAATATCAGGTAAAAAATTCCCGTTTTTTTCCCTTTACTACTCCATTATTATGTTTAATTAATAGGGCAAGTTGTAAAAAAAAATCATTAACAATAATGTTGTTTACATCTTATAATATTTTAGAATTAATTTTAAAAATTATGTTAAAAATTGCGGGATTTCTTAAGAATTTTGAGCGTTATTCGGTAGTTTGTTCGAAGAGATTTGGCCAAAATATATATAATAAACATTTTTACATCCTTGTCAGTTATGTATTTATATGGAAGGCAAGTCGCTCTGTTTTACTCTAGGGAAATCCTACTGGCATGCTCCCAACGCTCGAAAGATATAAGAAATTTTCTTCCTGTCAATAGTTGTAATTTTAGTTACACTATAATGTATGTAAAAATAGATATTCTCCTCCCTTCCTCTTAAGTAATTATAATATTTTTCTTTCTTTCTTTTTATTTATTTGACATTATATATTATACACATACTTTTATAATTTAGAGGAAACATTAACTATTAAAGTAACTAGTCAGGAATATTATGATAAGTTAGTTGACTATTCGATGATGAAGATTTATGCAATGGCTACCGTAAAAGAAACCAGANTTTTCTTCCTGTCAATAGTTGTAATTTTAGTTACACTATAATGTATGTAAAAATAGATATTCTCCTCCCTTCCTCTTAAGTAATTATAATATTTTGAATTCTGCTGAATTTACAAAATTCCCTGTTGAAGTTCACTCTTTAAATCTTTTAGAGTGATTTAGTATTATGTTTCTTACTATTTACAGCAACTAAATTTAGTTTTTAAGTAAAATATATAGAAAATTATATCTTGAAATACTTTCTAATTAAAGTTTTATATGAATTTAGTTATTTGAGCTGATTATAATTCATCTTCTCATTACTTTTACATCCTATATCTAGACACAACTTTACATTTAAGCGAAATAATCTGTAGTGTAGGAGGGCCTTTTACTGCAAGGCTACAGTTTAGGGCCTTGTGCATTATTGCTTGGTGGAGAAGGGCCTGCTTGTAATATTAAAGCTTAGAGCCATGACAAAATTCGAAATTTAGCCTTGCTTGCTTCTAAAGTTGAGAAACATTAGTCACATTGGTATAGTTTATATAACATTTACATGAAAAATGTAGGCCTACTACGCTTTAAAATCTGTTCATAAACAAAAATAATGGAAGGTTTAGTATAAAATTAAATAAGACATTCCTTTAAATATAATAAATTCCTTATCATTTACTGATTTAACAACATTTAAAGTATATTAAAAAACATAAAAAGCCTTCCTTTAGAGGTTTCTTCAGAGGATTCTACAGAAAAACCCCTTCCTTCACAGGAAATATTTAAATAATAAAAAAGAATATTAAAGAAATAAAGAATTATTAAATTTTAGTACCTTATTAAGATAGATTTTAATATTTAAAGTAGATTATTCATTTTAAATCCTGTTTATCAATTGTTCGAATATTGAAACAAAAATGAATAACTTTATATAATTTTATTTCGTAGATAAATAATAAACTTATAACATTTTTACTTGCTTGTTAACCTTAACATTTCATTTTATATAAAAACAAATTTATACGTAATAACCGTGACTTAGTAAATAAAAATCCATTTTATTATTAAGGAAATTACTTTCGCAACGAGACTTGTTAATGCCCATTATTCTAAGAATAGCAGAATACATTACTACAGTAATACTATGTTTGCTTTGGCTTTTGATTAGGAATTTGTAATTTATTATTTTTACGTAAGTTGTATTTTTTACCTTGGTGATTTTATTAGTGATTTTTTTCTACTTTCCCAACTATTATATAATAGAAGGAAAGTATGACAATCAGTTAAAAAACGACACAAAAGATTTTAACATTTTTGGACTCTGGGACCTTGAAACATCGAAAAATTGTTTTAAAAATGTTAGTTTGTTTTGTATTTATGTTAGTTTATGCGCGTGAGGAGTGAGTGTTTGTGAGTGTGAGTGTGGGGGCACGATTTTGATTGCCTACTTTAAAACTTAATAACTCTCGTGCTTTTTATTCTAAATTTCTGAAATTTTTCAGAGAGGTTTGCGTAGTAGGAGGAAATATTTCTGGAAATTTTCAGGAAAATTGAACCATTAGTTCGGGAGATACGGTCCTAACACTCTTATCGTCTTTCGAACCGATCTGAAGGCTTAAAAGTAATGGTAGCAATGACTAGGGATGAAAACAAATAAAGAATGCCGGGAAAGTCCAGCTTCTTTATTAGTAATCTGGCTATATTAGGTGACCATATGTTCCGGTTTCTTCGGGACAATCCCAGATTTCTTCTGTTTTTAAACCTCAAAAACAGAATGAAATTTTGAATAAAACTATTTTATAGGTCTTCTAATGCAACGTAACCAATTTATAGGTCGATATATAAGTAATTAAAAAATAATTATTTAAGTTTAGTCATTTTACACTCATTTTTCACTCACTCGCTCTTAAAAACTGTTCCGGTTTGAGGGATAAACAACACACTGATTCTCAACTTTATATTAGAACTATAAAAAAAAAGGAGAGAAAATAACACTCCATATTTAGTCGTTAATTCCAGTTTACCAAGTTATATAATAGATATTTATAAGACACGTTTATTTTGTCTGAATAATTTTACGTCAAATTGACGTCATCATCTTATTTTCTCATAAGAAAATTGCAAGAATGATGTCAAATTGACGTAATAATATACTGTATTCGAACTAAACATGTGTCCGTAATGGTAATAACAGTTCTAGTTTACAATGCATATCCAATCAGAAATCATATAACTTTAATTTTTATTTGTTCTGTTTACCCAGTTTAATAGCTTATTATACGAATCGATACATTCACAATAAATGTAATTTCGTATACAGTATTTATTTGTTTCAAAGTATTAAAACTGTATAGGGAAGGTTTATAGTCAAGCCCAGATAGAGAGGTCTGATGGGCTTCTCTGAGACTATCTGGTTTATCAGGACCTCTCTATCTGGGAATCTATCGGGTTTATCAGGACCTCTTTATCTGGGATCGCTCTGGGAATCTATCTGGTTTAACAGATTCCCAGATAGAAAAGTCCCGATAAACCAGATAGATTCCCAGATAGAGAGGCCCTATCTGGTTTATCAGGACCTTTCTATCTAAGGTTCCGGACACAAGAAGCATTCAAAATTTAGTTCCTTTTTTTTTAATATTGAAGGTGATAAAAATTAAAACCTGATTTTATTTTATTTATATATGTTTATGGATTACTTTTATGTAAAAAAACATATAAAATTGATAAAAATTAAAACCTGTTTACATTTTATTTGCATATATTTATGGTTTGCTGATCTATTTTATGTAAGAAAAACATATGAAAGTGATAAAAATTAAAATCTGTTTTCAATTTATTTGTATATTTATATGGATTTTTGTGAAGGATGAGGTATCACATCTGTGACTAACTCGAGCCTCATCTCATCTCTCTCAGGTATTGCTTATAGTTGTACAGTGTAAAATCGAATTAACCTTATTATTCTATAAAATATTAATTAACTATAAATTAATAAATGAGAATTATAAATCTGATGATTTAATTAATTAAATCTAATTTTTTAATTTATATTTCTTATTAAACTAAGTTTGTGTAGATATTTTTTATGTTAAAATAATCATTTATTAAGTCAACAAGTAAAATAATAATTGTATTTATTTATTTTTTTTGCATTTTAAGAGGTCCTAAGTCCAAAAAGTGTAAAATATTGGGGGGTGATTTTTTGACCGCTCGCCATACTTTCTCTCTGTTAGCCGGGAAAGCAAAATTTCTTATTCTATTATTATTTTATCAATAAAAAAAAAAAAAACATTTTAACGAATCGGACAGACAGACAATTTAGAAAGACAGTTTTAGGTTAAACACTTGTCTATTTAGACAAGTGTTTGACATATAATCCAGTTTTAAGTACTTGTCGTTGCCATTACGTAACACTGCAAATTTGTTTATTTGACGAGATACGGAGTATAAGGAGCAAACCTACGCGTAAGTGTACGCGATGTCGTATGACGTTTGAAAATAAACTTATAAAATTATATCTAAACAAAATTTATGTTTAAATTAATATATTATTAAATTAATTTTTCGAATAAATAGTTGTTTAACTACATCTATTATTCGTAAGGAAAATAATAATATGGACAGATCCGGATAGAAGGGTCAAAGGTCAAAGGGGCTGTGAAAACAGCTAAAAAGCACTATTTGATATAGTTTGAGAATGTCGGCCATAACACTTCCCTCTGATGTTTAACTGTTCCATACAGATAAGATAGTGTTAAATTGTCGAAAATCACGACTAGTCGTCCACAGACCGAACTTATGTAATATAAGCACCATTAAATACAGGTAACTGTGGAATATGGACATAAGAAAAACAAGTTGGCAACTGTTTTATTCTTAGGTTTAACGTAAATGAATTATAGCATAGGCTTGAGAGATCGTCTCGTAACAGATTGGGGTCCTTATTAATTCCGTCTTCATACGCAAACACATTTAAGTGAAAATGAGATAAAGATTAATTTCTGTACATAAATTAACATGATATAAATTAAAATTTCGTTTTAGTAAATAACTAAAACGGGTTGTTTTCTGTCAGTTTTATTGAGTTTATTCATATATAAGGCGTTGGGAAAGTGATAGGGCCTGACATTCGTGATAGATTAGGCCTTTCCTAATTTCTCTCAGATCTTTTCAATTGTTCGATTGACGAATAAAACTTCGAATTAAATATCCGAAATTGGTTTAAAAAAATAGCAAGTTTTTAAAAATATATATTTACATTATAAGTTAACTATATAAAACATTGTTTTCATTAAGACATTCTTGTAAATATTTATGATTTATTGTAACAAAGTGGTTTATTTGCATTTCCTCGAACAAGTATTTATAAGCAGTTTGCATAACATTTAATTTATTCAACAGGAAATAATATTTGTACGATTAAATGCAAAGACCTAAGTAGAAAAATGATTTTGATATTTCAATTATACATTTAAAATATATATAATTTGCAATATTTATTTATATTTGGAAGCAAAAAAAAAATTAATATGCATTTTAAAACGTTTTAGATCCAATAACCCGACAAGCATTCGATATTAAATAACCTTGGTAATTTTTTTTATTATTATTATTTTGCATACTAATTGACTAATTATTAAGTCACCTAAGTTGCTACTTCGCATTCCGCAAGTAACCGGAACCTCCGTCAGCAAATATTTATGTTTTTTTTGCTAATTATATTATGATTGGAAATGTCTAGTTTTCCACTTACAATGCTGACAGTTGCCAAAAAAAGTTCAAGGCTTTCGTAACTCTACGCGCTACATGTAATGTCAACCTTCGATAAACAGCCTCTGTCATAAAATATTATATTTAATATTTTTAATTATGCATAAAATCGATATGTAAATAATAAAATTGCCTATTTTTATGGGTAATTTGATGTGTATTAATTACTACAAATGATGCTAAATTGGAATTCTATTTTATAAAATAGAATTAAATATTTGTTTAGTCCATTTTGAATTAAACAGATATTAAAAAAAAAACTTTATAAAATTTTAATCTTTGCAATTTTCTAGGACAAAATTCTTAGAAATTTCTCTTCCCGCATGGTTTGCAGGTTATTTTCAATCTCCTTTTAAGAAATATTTGGTAGGATTTCACCGCCCTTATTACAAAATGTTATTAAATATAATTTAAATTAATTTTAATCAACACGAAATTAATTTATTTTTACTTACCATACTCTGTTACAAGAACATATTAAGTCATTGTTTCAATACAAAGAGAAAAATCAAAACTGCATTTCAAGGACCTACGAATTACTTAAATATATTTCCTGTGTTTTTCTATTCAATCTATTTTGATTATGTTTAAATCTCTTCCATTTTTGAACATTCTTTTGAATTTATAAAGGAAACAATGAGACTAGAAATGGTTGAGATACCTCAGAGCATGAGAAAATCACACGATTAAATAATAACGTATTAATAAACCTCATTATTTTCATTGACCATACGTTTTATTTATAAAAATGATGCTTAATCTTTAAAAAAAACTAAAAAAAAATAATTATTTTGTACCTTTAGGAAGAGAGCCAATTTGTAAATATACAATAAGATATCTCAAGATGGACATCTCTATATCATGGACATCCTCGAAATTGGATGTATTTTTGTGGTACTACTAGTGTCTAACTTTGAGAGGTTTTCCTTATATAGTGGTCTTTCAAAGGATTGGATTGGATTAATAGAATAAGGCAACTCAACGAGTAGGCAATCTGCCAAAGGAATGTGCCTTTCGGAAAAACTTTTATGAGAAATTTGACCAAATTTACATGTTAGACATGCAAATAAAATTGGAAAGCTCCACGCTACCAATCCGTTGGTCAAGTGTGAACCCACGACCAAGTAACAGTGGTTTCATTTACTTGGCTACTAATGGGCACGACTCTCAAAGAACTGAGTTAAATCATTCCTAATATCTAGAGTATAAAGAATAGCAAGCAAAGTCTAACAAAAAGTTCACTATATCGAATGGTCTTATATAGTAGAGTCCTACATTTCAGTAGGGACCCTATTATATTCGATTTTCTCACACTTCAATGACGAAATCTCCGATTCCGTATTAAAACAGCGCTTCCTTTATTTATAAAAATCCAAACGTCATTCTTTTATCAATTATTACGAGGTTTAAATTAGTTAACGTTAACCTGTTCTAATTAACGTACGTTTCCCAGAAAAATATAATAAAAGAGGTCATATGAGTATCGAGCAAACAGGAAGTGGTAAAGGGAGTAAACGGTAAATTTAAAAGAAACATCTGTTTAAGGTAGAATTTAATCGAGAGTAATTTAAAATTGTAACATATGTTTGCGGTTTACCACCGACTAAAAATGGTATAAACAAAGAGGAATCGTTTAGTTCTTCGTCGAAAACTTTCGTGCAATTTATTTATTTCGAGAAATTAAGTTTATTCACACCCGAAATTATCTAGCTCATACTCGTTAAAAACTGATGTATGTTACTATTGGTAACTTACAGAATGTCCTTAATATAAAAATAGGTGACTAAGCGAAAGAAACGTACTGTTTATTATAAGGGTTTCAGTTTTCTCTTCTTATCGACGTCTGTATTGGAAGTTTGTTTTAAGAGAACTTTCAGATCTATTCGACTCGAAAAAGTAAGTTTATAGATTTTTCTCCAGTTTAGCAATAAATACTTCACAATTTTTCGTGAATTCTTTCACTCCGTGTCTAATTATTTCTTTATATTCCATTGTGTTCAGATTGTGTTGCTTGAATTCTTTCGAAAGATTTTTAGATATTGTTAATTATAATACCTATTTTTTTAATTCAATTTGATAATTGGGAGAATCAAATGAAAGTAGGACATGGGAAATTACGAAAAACAATCATCTTAATGGATTAGATTCAAATCCTCACAGTGGAATTCTTCCTCATTAAGTGGCAAACATTCGGTTAAAGACTTTTTTACTTCCTAAATAAGAAAAAAATATATATATTTATTCTTGTATTAGAACCAAATTCACTGATTGAGTATTGTTAAAAAAGATAAGTGTCACCATAAGTCATACATTGAATGCCCTATGACACTTGTATGACTCTTTATTTAGCTGAAAACGCGATTCAAAGTGTTGTTAATTTTTTCTTGTTTTAAATGGAATTAATGTAAATATGGCGATGCGAAATAAAATTTATTAAAATTACATTATATAATTGTTTTTTTTTTTCTGTAATAGGTAAATATGACTACACGCCCGAGAGGTTCGAATTATGGACGTTCTAGGAGTATGGATCCTGAAAAGGAACATAAAATAAGAGAAATGGAAAGATTGAGAGAAGAATATTTGAAGAGAAAAAGAGAAGAAATGTTGAGAGAACAGGCTTTGAAAAGTAAAACATTAATTCATTTAGTACTTTAAATCTAACTTATATGTAGTGTAGGCTCTGATCGATAAAATTGTGTGGCCGCATAAGATGCCAAGAGACAATACACACGAAATTTACACTATTTACACTCATGGCACCAAAACTTCTTGCATAAGAGTGCTGATAAGGCTAGAGTCGGTATTGCTTATATGTATTAAGAGAGACAATACACACGAAATTTACACTATTTACACTCATGGCACCAAAACTTCTTGCATAAGAGTGCTGATAAGGCTAGAGTCGGTATTGCTTATATGTATTAAATACTCTTTAAATTAAAGACTTAATTGAGCGTATTTAATGACTTTCAGGTGGAGGAAAAACTCTCGAAGTTGACGTTGTGGAATTGTATGCTAAAGATAATGCCTTAGATCACAACACATCCCGATATGATCTTTTAAATGGCAAAGATGCACCTGCAATTTTTAGACGTGGCCAACTTTTCTACATGTGTATACGATTCAAGCGAAATTTTGATCTCAGTCAGGATAAAATAAAACTGATATTTTTAATAGGCAAGTTAAAATTTACAATATTTTAAAACGTTTTGATAATACTTAAACGTTATTTCAATGCTCCAATGTATTAATTTTTTTAAATTAAATTTATAAATAGATAAATAACTTTTCGATTTTCCAGGGCCTCAACCACAAGTTAGTAAAGGAACTTTGGTTCAATTGCCCATAACTGGAAATCAATCGTTTACGAAACCAAAATCTCAATGGGACATACGATTGCACCATCAAGAACAAGCAATTATACATCTGCAGGTTCAGATTGCAACTAAAGCCATTGTTGGAGTCTGGTCTTTAAACATTGAAACTACCCACCCAAGTAGCACTGTTCCTTCGCATTTTCAAGCAAGCAAAAATATTTACATCCTTTTCAATCCTTGGTGTAAAGGTAAGTAACTTTGTAACTTCAAGTTATGAAAATGATCTGAATAGCTACACACTTCTATAATGAAATTGGGCTTATAATGAATTAAATTCCGTTTTATATGAATTCCATGTTGTACGAGTCACTTAGATTTTACAAATACGTGTGCCGGGCTGTGAACGGTTCACGTATTTGTAAAATCTAAGTGACTCGTACAACATGAAATTCATATAAAACGGAATTATCTATAGTGTTGTAGGGGATCTACTGTATATAATTATTATTTATATATCAAATATTTTAAATAGTAACTGATAAGAGTGAATAGCATAGAAAGTATTCGTTGTTTTATGAGGTAGTAGAGATTATGATTCACCGTCCTGAGCACTAAGAGGGCCTTTTTATAAAGCCCATAGTAGATTCAGCCAGGCCAAAAATGAGGTAGCTGGGTGGTGAGGGATTGGTCCGACATATCCGGACGGACCTGAAAAATTTCCGAGGTTTTTTCGACCCCGAAAATTGCCACATTAACTGCTCGGTCATCTGGCTTAAATTTGATGTGGATGAGTCGACACTTCGACATCTTTTCCGGGCAGTCCCTAACCGATTACGTACCAGCAGACCTACAGTAACTTGCTCAACCAATCCTCCACCGAAATATTCCCGTCAATCAAACCGTTCGAGGTTCCTGGATTTCCTGGATGGCGTATTTAAAAACTTTTTCCGCCCTGTGAGCATAAGAGGGCCTCTTTTAGCAAGACCATTATGGATTCGACCAGGCCCACAATGGAGCAATGGCTGGTGAGGGACGGGATCCGACATATTCAGACCGACCATCGTCCTTCTCATAGAAAATAATGAACTTAACATGTCAATTATTTATGACAGGAAACTATTTATTCTTTTTAAATATTAAAACTAAAATTAAAACTCTCCTTCAAGCAGTCTTTGAAGAATGCTCCGTGAATGATTTGATATGAAATCTTATAAGGATCTAGATTTATTCTTTTCACCTGACCAAAAATTAGCATCTCGAGTCCGCAGGATGCTCATGATTGATCTATAACATAATCTTATAAATATAATAGGATCATATATTAATTTTATGCACTTTTCATGTGTTTTCCTTAATTTTAGTGATAAATTAGTGGGCCTATATTAACAATTGAAGAGATAAAAATGAAGGTGCTTAATTTTAAGATATTTTTATTCCAAAATTTTATTTAAAAAATCATTAATCGCGATTTTATTTACTATAAAAATGTTAATGTAAATAATTTGTTAATTAATTTCAACTTTTATACTTCATTATTATTGTTTTGTAGATGATGCTGTTTATATGGAAGACGAAGCGTGCAGAAACGAATACGTTCTTAATGAATCTGGTAAAATATTCGTGGGATCTCATAAAGCGCCGAAAGGCAGGAGATGGATTTATGGACAAGTATGATCTTATATAATAATCTGTTTCATTAAGAATATTTATACTTATTATATTATTGTCTTCGATTCAGTTTTCATCCGCCGCTTTACCAGCAGCTATGGCTATTTTAGAAGCATCTCCTCTGGATTACGTGGGCCGTGCAAATCCTGTTAAAGTAGTTAGAACAGTATCTGCAATGGTAAGTATATGAATTGGATTTTTTTAAAACTCTTTTCTTCCTGCGAGCACTAAGAGGGCTTTTTAGCAAGCCCATTATGGGTTCGGCCAGGCTCACAACGAGTGGTGGAGGATGAACGGGAATACCTAGACGGACTGCCTCACGAAAAATTCCTTGCATTTTCGACCCATCCTGATTCGATCCCTGGTACCCCAGAGCGGTAGGCTGCCATCCCACGATCAAATGCATGAATTAGTTTTAAAAGTGCATGTACAGTACTGTACATAAATTATATACCGATTAGTTCGCAATATTGAGAGTCAGATAAAAATAAGATTAAATAATTGCATTATAAATCGGATCTATGGTATAAGGCAAAGTAACACGTGGACGATCACTGCCCTCCCGAGGAGACACGTTTGCTCCGCTCCTTCGCCATGTTTGTGGTCTAGTTTCTGCTTGCTTAGCTTGCACGTGGTTTGTTATTTGCCAGGTTGGCAGCACTTATTTTCAATTTAAACTTAATAGAACTGCAGTATTTTTATATCAAAAACAAAGTTAAAAAAGATGCTTTTCTGGCGGATTATTCTCGCAGTCTGACAGGACAAGATGCTGCTTTATATGAAGAGAAAGTTTCATTATATCAAGGTGTCGATCCATACGAAGCCAACATCTTCGTTGTAGATCAAGAATCGTGGCCTGAAGTAGAATTTGGTGACATCATAAACTATTTGGTCTTGACGACAAATTACTACACTCTTTTACAAATGAAAGCTTAGAAATCTTTAGGAGACCCATAACTATCTTACAAGTGGCTGTGTTTCTCCTGATTATGTGCTTTTTCATAACGCTCCTGATATGCAGTTGGGTTGTGGCCACTCTCATACCCCATGTATAATGTTGGCACACAGTCTGGTGATGACTCATCATAAAATGAGGTTTTCCTTTAGGGTTAAAAACATTTTCAATAATATTATTAAAAAGAACGTACCATTATGGTATATTATATATAAAAAATAAATAAGAATTTGTCAGGAACAACTTGAAGGTTACTATGTAATGATTATTTGTTACTAATGTAAAAAAATAATCATTGTAAAAAGTAAAATCTTAAAGAAATGTTAATGTTGCTCATCAAAATAATCTAACTTAGCGCTAATATTTGTATATGAACAATGGAAATTATTGGTCTATATTTTAAAAAATGCACACACTTTTATTTATGTAAATTAGACTGGAAAGACAATCGGTTCAAAATTCATTTCTAATTCTTTATCTGCTAAGTGATTATCTTTGCTTAACGCTTTAATATTAACTCTATTGTATATTTATTACAAGCAGAGTCTAATAAAACAAACTGAAGGTGAAAAATAAATTAAAACACAATTATTATCTATTCAAACTAAAATCTGAGGTTAAAATTATTAACTTTATTTTGTTGATATTAACAAAGGGATTTATGCAACCGGCTTGTACACACTTTATGATACTCATGCAAAAGTTTATCTAATCATATATTGGTAACTAGTAACTGGTTTTAAAACATTTACTTGTTCATTAGTAATCAAATGTTATTGCTTACCTGAAATGAAATGTTTCTGTCAAATTCTTATATTACGACTTTCATTGTTTCCGAGAAGCGACCAGGAAAATGTTTGAAGTGCGATTCAAGGGGAAAAAACCGATGCCTCAATTCTACAACTCTCTGGATAGTGCCCAAATTGACGGCTGCTCCAAATAGCCGTAGATCAATAGGAGAGATTGGCAGATCTCCCGGTCTACTTTAAATCTTTTCCAATAATTGGAAGTGATAAATGATACTAAACGTGGTAAAATACGTAAGGAAGTCGGTTTTATGCTGAACATTGTTTTTTGTAGAACTGGTTTTATATAAAACGGAAGGGATGTCGATACACAGTACAATTTGTTTCTAACTTAATTTATGGTAAAGCCACCCGACGACGAAGTATTACGATATTGCCTCGTACGACCATTGCAATGCGGTAAGTCAAATTGCTACGTGCTCTGTCGTTATTTTAATGCGGTACACTAATTCAATCATTGGCAATTTTAATAATGTAAAGCCATCTGGATATTTTTCATTGTAATTATTATTTACTTTATCCGTATTGAAATTTTTCTGGTTAATTCTCGAGAGTCATGCAAATTGCTTTGTCGTGAAAGCTCCTCAGTTTGGGGTCCTTGATGACAAATAATGCCGGAAAATTTTAAAAAATGACGTTCTTTTGTTACTGAGTGAACTAGCATTACACCCAATCACACAGCAATTTACCACAGTGATATTCGCGACGAATAAACAATACAAGAACTCCAGCTAAAGCACGCGTAAACACAAATAAAACGTAAACAAATCACAAGATAGCGCCGGACTCATAGATAGCTCAAATCTCAAGATAGCTCATGCTCATGGCGTCATTCGTGATGTGGACTTGAAACCTCGCTATAGGAAATTGGCCCCTGTTTAGGTGTTAGACACGTAAAAATTTCCAAAAAATTCCACATGACCAGCAGGTGACCATCGAATAGGCCCAGTATTTAATGGTTTTATCCATTCGGCCACTGATGGGCACATTCTACAGCACCTTGCCAAATTATTAGACCCATTGACTAATATCATACTTTCTGTATTATTTTCTTCTCTTTTTTCATAATATTGTTTACGAAATGAGTATTTTTTTCATGTTATTCTTATTCTCTATTATATCCCAAACACTTCTAATAAATTTTTTATACCGCAACAATGTAAAATTTAAACAAAAAAACTCAATTTCTACTACAGAAAGGAAACTAATAGAGGTTCTTATTAAGGTATGGCAGCATAGCGCATTTATTTCTTATGATATAGAAGAACTACTGGCTCATTCAAAATACTAATTTTCATTTTTTGATTATTGGCGGATTAATTAAACTTTTCCAACTATTGTTATATTTAAATAACTTTTATTCATGAAATACCTTGTGTAGATTAATAGCGAAGATGATAATGGTGTCTTGAAAGGCCGATGGGATGGATCATACGACGATGGTACCGCGCCTTGGATCTGGACCGGAAGTACTGCCATTTTGGAGGAATATCTTCGAAATGGAGGAAATGCTGTTAAATACGGACAATGCTGGGTTTTCGCTGGAGTCTGTACCACCGGTATATTGTTTAAATTATTGTATTATTAATACTACTATTCTATGTATTATATTAATCATTATTGTATTTTAGTATGTCGTGCTTTGGGCATACCTTGTCGTCCGGTTACTAACTTCGTATCGGCTCACGATACTGACGATACGTTGACCATTGATAAATTTTTTGATCCCAAAGGAGAGAAAATGGAATTGAATGACGACTCTATTTGGTAAATGTACTTCACTTTCTTCTTTATTTGTAAATAACATACTTCAAATATTAAAATGAATGTTTTTAATTAAAGGAATTATCACGTTTGGAATGACTGTTGGATGACAAGACCCGATCTTCCTCCTGGTTACGGAGGTTGGCAAGCCGTAGATGCAACACCTCAAGAAACGAGTGATGGTAAATTTGAATCTGTAGTTGTGACCATGAATATTTTTTCGATGTAGACTTGTAAATGTAATTAAATCTTTAACATATCCATTGTTTAGGAGTTTATCAAACAGGACCCGCTTCACTAGAAGCCGTGAGAAGAGGTGAAGTTGGTTTTTCATATGATTCTCCTTTTGTGTTTTCCGAAGTAAATGCCGATATTATTCATTGGCAAAAGGACGATGATGCGCCAATTGGATGGAAAAAACTCAAAACTAACAAATATCAGCAAGTTGACTCTTTATAATTTTGATTTTTTTGTATAAAATGTAAAATAAAACGTTTACATTTAATATTTAATGAATTACAGTGTGGGTCGTTTCATTTTAACGAAAAAAGTAGGAGTTGAGGATCACAAAGGTGATACCGACGTAGAAAATATAATTAATCTCTACAAAAATGTCGAAGGTAAATAAAACAAATCTTTAAATGCTGTGTAATAAATAACTTCACAGCAATAATTTGCGATTCTATTTGGTTATTTAGGGACTGCAGAGGAAAGAATTGCTATAAGAAATGCCGCAACGTATGGTAATTTTACAGAACTGTTTGAGATGCCTGCAACAGGAGAAGAAGACGTATTCTTCGATATGTTGGAAATTGATCAAATTATGATCGGAGAACCATTTGATATTGTTTTGAAAATTGAAAATCTCAGCAACAGTGTCAGAACTATACACACTGTCATGTCGGCTAATACAGTTTATTATACAGGAATTAATGCACACGTGGTGAAGAAAGAAATTCGAAAATTAGTATTGAATCCACGTCAGAGTAATTATAATATTTTTCTTTCTTTCTTTTTATTTATTTGACATTATATATTATACACATACTTTTATAATTTAGAGGAAACATTAACTATTAAAGTAACTAGTCAGGAATATTATGATAAGTTAGTTGACTATTCGATGATGAAGATTTATGCAATGGCTACCGTAAAAGAAACCAGACAAACTTGGACAGAAGAAGATGATTTTGCTGTTGAAAAGCCAAAATTGAAGCTTGAGGTAATCACAATAAACAATTTAGTAATAAGTAAAGTTTAATTGATGAATGAATCTCAAACAATGTATAGAGATAACAGACTTATCAAATTGCTATTGAAGACATCAAAATGACACTTCTATTAATATAATGCAACTTTATAACTGATAATATTGTTGCATTCTGTTGATAGAAGTGATTACTATAGTGTTTTGAGATTCATTCATCAACAATCATTGAGATAAGAAGCTCTTATAATACTATAAAATACAAAATATTATTGATATTTGAATAATTTTTAAATTTTCAAGTATTATCGTGATACATAATTATTTAATTCAGGTGTCTGGTCGTATCCAAGTGGGTAAACCATTCGATCTGATTGCATCTTTCGTCAATCCACTGGATAGAATACTTCAGGATTGTGTATTTATTATCGAAGGTCCTGGGCTCTCTGAACCCCATCGATTTTATTTCAGGCAAGATTTTCATTCATTAGACTAACTTAAATATACTTTTAGTAAAATATTAAACAAAAATTGTATTTACAGAGATATCAATCCAAAAGAGACAGCTGTTTATAAAGAATCATTTGTACCTTTTAAGGAAGGTAAGAGAAATATTGTGGTAATGTTCAGTTCACGTCAGTTAATAGAAGTTCAAGGTTCGATGGAAGTGGAAGTTGCACCTTAAAACCGTTTCAAAAGATTATTTTATGGCATATCTGAGGTTAAATTTTACTATTATAATAATACAGGATCAATATTTTAAATAATGGAATTCAGCTAACTAATAATTTATATGTAATAAAAGGCTGTACTAATAACAAATAATATTTTATAGCCCATTTTATAAAATATTTTGATGCGATAAATGATTGTTTTTCTTCTTGTATAAGGGAACGTTCACAAACCACGTAGCCTACTTAAGGGGAAGGAGGTAAATCAATAGCTACCATGGACCATTATAATGGGAAATGGGTCTGAGTCAGGTAGCATAGACTTATTTTTAATTAATAAATTGTTCTGAGTTTAAATATAGCATATTTCTGTTGAAAGTGTGTTATAGTTACGACGTCATGTGCATAGTATCAGGGAAACTATTATCAGAAGCAATTTTGAACAGAAGGGTCAATAAAATAGTAATATTGATCAAGTGATACCACAGCAACATAATTGCACAATTGGAAATATTTTTATTTAACTCATTATTACAAAAAAATTAATATGGAATGATATATAATATAATATAGTTATAAAATAAAAATGCATAAGTTTTTTCTTATGTAGTTTTCTTATGTAGTGTGGCGTGAATAACTGTGAATAATTGTAATTCTAATGTTTGCAACAACACAATAAAGGCAAATTTTAAAAGTTAAAAGAACTAGAAACATTTAAACAGGAAAAACCATTTTGAAAATAAAGTTAGCTACTGCGAGCTGTTACAATTGAAAATCTTGGGACAAGAATATATTAAATAATTTTTTCAAGTTTCAGGAAAATTCTCCCTAATACTTCCGAATTTTCTCTGTATTTTTCGGACAGACATTACACATTGATAGGCCAGTCTATAAGAAGTTATGGCTTATGAGTCTTCAAATTATATCTGCCGTATGTATATAGAAATTCGCCAAAATTCAACGAAGAAACAGTTAATACGTTTTTCCTAAGGTCTTCAATTGTTATTTGTAACTGATCCACGTGACTATTTTATTGTGTATTTTTCATGCGTGTTGCAAAAAAGTTTTCTCTATTCTACCTGATGTTTAATTTTATAAATAAAGTAAAAATATTTGAGAATCCGATTTCCTTGAACCACGCTGTTTTAGGGGTAGAGGCAAACATAGAATCATCAGGATGGAAGGAGGTGTCAAAATTTGCAAAATATTAGGCTCATGGGTTTGTGGATGTTCTCTAAGTGCCAATTCTGATATACCCAGTATTATAAAAATAAAAGAGTGAAAACATTAAATTATGTTTCAATATCTTTAATTGATTTAGATTAAGGAACCATAAATCTAAAGATTATTCGTATGCATCAACATAATAATCTCTTAACATCAAATCGGATTTTTAAAAATAAATGAAAATTTAATTTACTCAATAAACTATATACATTTTACAGTATAATTTATTCAAATTTATATATATTTTTACGAATTTCAATAAGTAATAGATTATTGAATTCTATCCAATCTAAGTTTAAAATCTTTAAAAAACAGATCTAAATATTAGTGACATAATCTTGTACGACATCTTGCTTCATGCGTGGATCTGTCCTGGAAATGATTTTATTTAAACGAATATTATATGTTGCCTTTAAAGTTTTTTGCTTTTTTATTTGTTTATTTATAAAAAATGCAATTAAACCAAACCAAAGAGGTGCAGCGGTAACTAAAAGTTGTGCTACTATAGGTACAGCTGTTAAATCTACATCCGGTTGTGGTACAGAAAGATGTAACAGGATGAAGGCCACGCTAGCATTTTGCAACGCAGTTTCGATTGAAACTGCCAAAATTTGTTGTCTAGTAAGTCTTGCTAACCAAGCAAACATCGCCCCAAAAGCATAACCGCTCCAAGCTACTGCTGTAGCTGCTATAAAGACATTCCAATTAAACAAGAAAAAAATGTGCAGGTAGCTATAAATTCCAATAGAGATGCCAACTGTCAGACAGATCACAGTAAAGGGACGTGATATTTTTCTTAATTTTTCTGCACATACGGGTCTGTATTTTTGTAAAAGGAGTCCCAAACCGACTGGAATACTTAATCCTAATAAGGATAAAACTATACTTTTATATGGCACCTGCAACACTCCGTCTCTAAATATTGTACCTCCCAACGTAAATATCCATAGTGGCATCATACCTAAAAGAATTATTTCCAATATTAAATCTTATAAATTTAATGCAGATATGTTAAAATATTCTCACCTATAGAAGCTATAGTGCTGACAAATGTCATAGTGACACTTAATTCTAGATCACCTCCGAATATCAAGGTCCAAAAATTGCTTACAGTTCCTCCAGGAGAACAACCTAGAACAAAAAGTCCCAGTCGCAAACTGTAGTCTGAAAGTAGCAATTTTCCGAATCCGAAAGAAGCCTGAAAGACGAAAAAAAAGTAACTTATAACTAGTTTCAATTAGAAATAACTCTATGAATTAATTGAAATTTATTTCAATCTTTCTGTGATAGAAATTTTTTTTATTTTATCAAATCCAAAAGTAAGAATATAAAACGAGACTTTAGGGTATTTGAAGCAATAATGTCGAACTTTTAAGTAGTAAACGTATTTCAGTTTTGCTTATTTTGAATAATTATGGTTTCAACCGTCCTCCATTGAAATGTATTTTTTAAAACTCTTTTCCTCCTGTGAGCACTACGAGAGCCTTTTTGTAAGCCTATTATGGATTTACATATTATTTAATAAATATTTATGACAAACTACATTGTTATAAATGTTCTTTGTTATACAGTACAATGTCTTCCTTTCTTGTATCCTACGGATATTTCATTTAGTAATACAATTAGCCAATATGGAAAAGAAAGCTTATCATATCCTAAATAAGAATTGACGTACAAATTAGGACATTAAATCAGCTGTTAAGGAGAACCATCTTGGGGATTAGAAGAGCAAAGTACGCCCGACGTCATTCGAAGCCGATTTCTTAAGATAACGCAATGCAATAGAATGAGAGAGATTGAGCCTCGAACAGATCAAGCTCAATCTCTCTCATTCCCTTCAGTCAATATAGAAAGGAATAGAGGGAAAAAATTAGGCTTTTAAAGAACATTTTAATTTGATTTATATTGAAGTTATGTACAAATTTACAATTGATATATAATGTATATTAGTTATAGGCCTATAATATAAACAAGACACTGTTACAAATTCCATCGATAATGACTATATATATATAGTATTAGTATATACAGTAAATACAGCTAATACTCGATAACATTATAAAATATTTAATTATCCGACGTTTAATTAAATTTAAATTCCAGTGGCGAATTGTGCTACAAGCAAAATAAAAAATTGATTTGAGCTCCGAACTTAAGAGTCTTAAATACAAATGTAATTGTATGTATATAAATAGAAAATTAAATAGACTCTTAAATTATCTCTAGATGCGTTAATTTTCCACTATTAAAATTGCATATTATAAAATGAAAAATATATCAGACATTAAATTGATAAACGATAAGCACTTAAAAAGTATCTTTACTTTCAGAAAAACAATTGTAATTCAAGATTTTTAATGTCAATAAATTCGTAACTTTCGAAAGAAAACATTAAACAAATGCTAAAATCGAATAGAAATTTTAAAAGTATTTTTGTTAAATATTTATATCATTAAATAAAGTTTCAATTTTATCAGTCAAATTGTCAACAACTCGTCTTTTGGAGTGGACTATTTTAATGAGATTAAAGTTACATGCGTTTAAATATAAAATGTCAAACAAATACAAATAAATAGCACAAAATATTGATATTATTAATAATATAACCTAAAGACTTGTTTTAATGGAAGTTATTCATAAAAATTATTAATTAGAAGAAGGATTTACATAAAAGAAGTATTTTTTACAAGCATTTTCAGTTGAAATTTTCTTTTTAAATTATCAATAATTTTATCTAATTTACACTCAATTTCATTCAGAATAATTACGATAAATTTAAAGTATTATAATTGATAAGAAGAATTATCAAATGAACTTACCAAGGGCATAAAGAGGAATTGACATCCCAAACCAATGATGGCGGCCGTTGGTTTCTTTAACACTCCTTTAATGTCTTCAATTGACAAATGACAACCCATGTTGATATTGTTGAGGAGCACTAATGCCAATACGATTATAATAAAAACATTGTGGATAGTAGTATGTTTCTTGATTATATTCATAACATAAATCCCAGATATTTCGTTAATTTCATTATTTAAACAATTAAAACTATTTTCGCATTCGCTGCAATTGAATCTAAAGAAGCATTTCCGTTTAAGAGTCCATAACAATTGATTATGACCTATCCTCAAGTTTTTAATAGTAAAGGTGAAATTATTATCCATTTCGGAAGGTTGTAATTCAATACAGGAATTCTCCACGATTTCCACTAGCTGAGGGAATTTTGAATTAATTTCAAAGATCAACATCTGTGCGCTCGACGTGTCCCATTTTAATGCTTTCGATTGATTCTTCCATTCATCCGGATGAGATGAATTATATTCTTGTGAATAGAGTATGCTAAACGTTATCACGTTCACGTTATTCAATTGACCCTCTTCCAGATGAGGAGGAAAGAATTTTAATCCTTCGATTCGAAGCATCTGTTTGGCTGTCGAGATTTTCACAAATATTAATAAACTAAAGCACAGGCAAGATGTCCAGAGCATCATTCATCTATCGATAGTTAAAACTTTTAAAATACAAACATATCCATCAATCGGAATCGCAAATACATTGAGATAAAATTAAATGCTGTAATACATGCGACCTTTGTTCCTGACATTTAATTAACTGATAAGCGGTTCAAGGATAAAAATCTTATTTAAAATTTGTTTGCAGTGAACTCGTAAGAAGTTTTTTGATAATATCTTTAGATTTCCCAGAGAATAAATAAGTATTTAATTAATTATTATTATATTTTATAGTGACATTATGTACTTATGTGTAAAGTGTATACTCTACTAATTAATTTTTAATAATTGGATGAATATATAGAATATATTACACAGTGGCGCGTTATAGCTTTATAGGGCTCAAAAAAAATTTGAATTAGGGACTGTGATTTGTACAGTGTTGACTTCAGACATTTTTCTTCGAGGGAATTTTTTGAGGGAAATATTTTCTTATAAAAGATTAATTTGGGGCTCCTGTTTGTGGAGGCCCCAGACCAATCTTTCTGCTCATAGGATATTACCCTAGGGACTGTGATTTGTACAGTGTTGACTTCAGACATTTTTCTTCGAGGGAATTTTTTGAGGGAAATATTTTCTTATAAAAGATTAATTTGGGGCCCCTGTTTGTGGAGGCCCCAGACCAATCTTTCTGCTCATAGGATATTACCCTATATTACTTTTTTTTGCCCATAGGATATTACATGTAATTATTAAGTAAAGAATATATAAATAGATTATTATTCCTCCATTAAACAGTTGCTTGATTTTATTTTTATTTTTATTTTAAATTGTTATTTTTACTTAAAACTTTTAAATACGAAATGTTTATTATCTACCTGTGCTTGATTAACCAAACTGTAGATCGCGATCTGCACGCAACCCCTTTGTATACAGCAGCTATTATAGATTTGGGTAAATCGCGAGCAACTGGTTGAGAAGTTACGTACTGATTTCTTTTTTTTATTGAATTATTTAATTGTACAGAGTACAAGTTACCTACTGCAAGTTGATAATTACAGTAGTTATGGCAATGGGAGCATTAGTAAGGCCTACTGTAAAAAATAATTTATAAATGCTTACCTAGTGTAGTAGGCTTTACTGTATGCTTTTATAGTAAATGCAACTTCTACTATGCACTACTACTGATCTACAGTAGTTGTAGTAATAGTCAAGCACTTGAATAAGTAATATTTACAATAATAGTACTGTACTGTATGTACTGTACATGATGCACCTCACTATAAATATAGTTGTAAGTAGTAGCAGACAATAGTAGGTAGTAGCATACAGTAGTAGGTAGTAGTAGGTTATAGTAGGCTGTAGTAGGTAGTATATAGTATTATAGTAGTAATAAGTTGTATTTACTATAAAAGGAGGCAATAAGGTTTACAAGTTGTAAATGTTTATCTATTTCAGTAGGCATTACCAATTACTTTTATAGTAAATACAACAAATATTACTACTGACTCGCAGCGGGTAAGTTACTTTCTATAGTTATACACTTCAACAAGTAACATTTACAATATAAATACTCGATATACCTCAATATAAACACAAGTACCAACTTCAAATACTAAAACACAATACAAGTATAACTTACCGAATTAAATTGCAAATGTTTACACTCTGTTTGTAACTTACTGCTGGGTATAACTTCGAATATAATTGATTGCAGTAAGTTGCAATAGGAGCGAGCTTAATGTAATTACAACTTATTGTAATAAATTGCACCGCATGCGAGCATGGTGTAACTATAACTTTATAATAGTGTAAATTAATGTTAAGTTAAGCTAACTTGTACTAAATACAGTCAACCGAAAGTATAACTCAGTTATAGAAACTTTCGACGAACAGACAGACGTTTCCGATAATCGATCCAACACTTTCGAATGAAATTAACTCATTTAAATTGAATTTTATGTAAGGATTTTTAATTGATTTCTATGAAAAAAAAATAAGGTATCAACTTATAAGCTTTTACATCTAAACTTTGCCTTATCGATTAATCGATAAAGTAAACTTAACCATTTAATTCGAGTTCTAATTATAGTTTGCATAAATCCAAACTTAATCCCATTCCATAAGGAAAATTTAATGGAGAAAATGGATTAAGGCTTTTAATCTTAATCCTCAGGATTAATAATAATCCTTTCTATTTAGATGAATTGGAAATAGGAATTATTCCGAACGTCCAATTGCATTTTATTGATTTTCATAAAACAATTTCGAATAATTGAATAATTAACAAAACTATATTCTTTTTTTTAATTGAATAGTTAATTCCAATTAATGCTTTAATTGGAATTAATTACATTTTTTCCATTTAATTAAGAAAGTTTTACAACTTTCTCTTTCAAACCCCTCTAACACTAATTTTTTATTGAATAATAAACGAAAAATAAAATTCTTCTTAACCCCGTTGACCGCGAACTACAGGTTGAGAAGCTTTAATATAAAAGTATCCAATAATACCTAGTGTAAAAAGTAAGTTGGGAATGTATACCTATTGTAGTAGGCTTTACTGGATATTTTAAAATAGATTTTTTAATGTATGCTACACTACGGCAATAAATTTATTTTATTTTTATTTTATTCAACTTACAGCTGGAGTTCTTGCCTGAGGTCCATATGGGTACTTAGTCCATCCTAAAGAGCTCTCTGTTGTCGTATCGAGAAGAACCACTGAAAGTATAACAGCCCTTGTTATTGGTTACGATAATAAGTACTTTTCTTTGTTAAAAAATGTAAAAAATTTACATTATAATTGAATAATAACTTGTTAAAATTCTATAATTTTTTATATGATTCATCTTAGTAATTTAAAATCGAATAATTTATGTTTTATTTGTCAATATAAGGCATAGATTATTCGATTTATATCTAATTACGTCACCTATTCGCAGCACCTATTCGTGAATATCTATTTACAGTACCTATTCACGTCACCTATCCGTTAATACCTATTTCCAGCACCTATTTACAGTACCTATTCACGTCACCTGTCTGTAAATACCTACCTATTCGTGAGTATAACACCTATTTACAGTACCTATTTACGTGAGTACCTATTTACGTCATTCGTTTACAGTACCTATTCATAACACCTATTTACGTCTGAAAAGTTAAAATTTGTACCCAATTTTCCTACATTTTAAAACACTCGTGCTGCCTGGACACAGAACGAAAGCCCAAATCTGCACCCAATATTTTGACAAACACGCTGCTAGATATAGAACAAAAAACAACTGATATTTATGCCCGAATTTTTCACACTTTGATAAGCAAATTGATACCCAGTTTAACAGCTAATATTATTCTGTAACTAATTACAGAGCGATAAATTAAACCCAATAAAAATTAATTTATAAAACAAACACACTGTAAAAATATATATATATAAAATCAGTAAAAATGCTCCTACACTTTCTCCAAAATATATATATATATATAAAAAGAAAATAAAACCAATCGCTAAACATAGACACGTCCTATCCGAGAGTTAAAGGAAGGGGACAAGTTTCAAATTTCTTATCGATATTTCTACATTAATTTCAAAAATAGTTCTGACACACACACATAAAAAAAGAAGAAGAAGAAGAAGTCTTCTAAAGGGGTCTTCAATTTTAAAAGCGGCTTTAATGTTTGTGCTTTCCTGGTCAGAAGCAGCTGCTGTGTACAGATCGTGCCCATTGTATCCAGACATCTGTCAGAATTTGGAGTTCCTCTTTAATGACCACCCCAGGAAACTCTTGCTTATATTTGCGCTTTCTTTTCATTTCAGCAAGCTGAAATGAAAGCGAAGGAGAAGATATACCCCAGTATATCTTTATATATATATATATATAGATATATATTTATAATTTCCTTTCCTGTTCGCGACCCAGACCGATCTAGTAAGCTGCTTACCGATTATTTATTCAACAGAATAATTTAATTTCCTGTGTTTTCTCGAGTATAGCGCGCATCTGTTTCCCCAAGCTATTAGAGACGTTGAAGTATTATTATTATATTTTTTTATTTTATTTTTTCTTCATCCCCTACTCTTTTTTTTTTAAAGCTGAGGAAACATTCTAAACGACTAATTTAGTGTGTAATCAATAAAAAAATATACATTTTGGAAATAAAAATAACGAATGGGATATCGAGTAATTCCAGCCATTCGCGTGTTTTGATCAAGTTGATATGCTAATTATGTTTAGTCTGATGAAGCGGGTTTTCTACTCATTAGGGTGCACGACAAATTGTTAAGGGGGTATCCTGCTACTGGGAGGAAAAAACTTATACTAACAATGTTGCCTGATCTTATGCGTTGATAAGATAATACAATTGATTATATCCAATGGTCAAGGTTCTCTGTTATGGCAAAGTGTTTCTTGTAGGACAGCTTGTTATCCAATACAACTATACTGATTATTATCTAAGCTCCTTCACTGAGTTTACTGAAGGATGCGCTTGATAGATTTATTTTACTGTTAAATTATTATTATTTTTTTTTAATTGTTTATTTCTCACGTGTATCAAATACTTGCGCGCTTCTTTTCGTCCAGATCGATCGATCTTGCTAAAAGTTTCTTTCGTCTGTTGTGTGTTTTTGATCGAAGTTTGAGACGAGTGAGGAACGGTGTATGATCGGGAATAAGAATCGAAAGAGTTAATTAATTGTTTTCGATCAGGCATGCTCGATTCGAGAAACGTGAGGATCGAAATAAGAATCGTTAATTGAAATTTAATTCAATTAAAGAATCAAAAACGGTTCGATCAAATTTAATTCGATCAAAATAGGGATCAATCGAGTAAGGATTTAGAACGTATATTCAAACTTGGTTCGATTAAAGCAAAGATCAAACTTATTAAAATTCGATCAACATAAAGATTAATAAAATCAAATTAAAATCAGCTTTCATTTTAGAAAGCTGATTTTAATTTGATTTTATTAATCTTTGCTAAAAAATAAAACTTTTATAATTCGACGAAAATAATGATCAAATCCTTACTTCTCTTTGATCATTGCTTCGATCAAAGACGATTGGTTTTTGATTTTGGCTTTGTTTGATCTTTATTCGATTACAACTTATAAAAATCTCGATCGTAACTCATCAAATCGATTCATTTTTCTTCAATTTCACTCCGTTTAATGTTCAGATCATTAATTTTTAATCGAATCCACAATTTTTCTATCATTTTTGCATATTTGAAACGATTTCGCTATTAATCTTACAAAGATGTAACGTTTCAATTATTATACATTTTAAATGGATTGCCTTAACCTATATTTTTCCAACGAATTTAATTACTTGTCGACTGCAACGTAACGAAGAGAAAGAGGAAGGAATAAATTAAAAATATAGATTTATTCCAAATAGAGTGTCATTAGCTCGAAACATGCCAATTTAGGAGTGTAATTGTTTATTCCTAATCAAAACAGAACAGAAGCTTCATTTACATGTTATATAGACGAAACGTTAGGAGTTTGTGATAAACAATCATTTATTTATTTGGCAATTATTCTATCGTGAATTATTTGATCGTTTCTGTTTTGAAACTGCAAATTTCCACGATGAAACGATCACGAAACCTGCTCAATTGCTTTGTTTTTTTTCATGGTTTCTGCTTTAAAAAATGCAAAAATGGAAGCTGAAACACTCACAAAGCATGCAAAATTGTCTTTTCTGATGGTTTCTGCTTTGAAAAATGCCAAAATTTGAAGCTGTAAACACTTACAAAGCTTGCAGAATTGTCTTTATTTGAAAAAAAAAAACAATTTCTCTTAATTACTTAAAAAAAACCAACCTGTTGTTTCGAAATTTGTACTTAATTTTTAAAAGTTTATTTTTTTTCAACATTTCTTCAACTTCTAATCTTCTCTGCTCCTAAATTCTCTCCCAATTTCTATCAGTTCCACAGCTCTAGTTCATTTTTAATTCAGTAAAAATAGCAGATTGAAGACAGACTTTTTTTTTCCTGTAAATTGCTAAACTTCGAGTAATGTTATTTATTAGTTTTTGAAGTTTACAAAAGATTTGTTTCGACGTAAATATATTTAAAAATCTCATTAAGTTTCAGTTAAGTCATGCGGAATTTCAATAGAAAGCAAAGGATTCGTTTGGTTGCAGTAAGAGAAGGTGAAGTTTGAAAAAAAAAGAAGAAGAAGAAGGTGGGAGAGGCAATTAGTTCTTTTTCCAGTTTACTCAGTTTGACATAAAACGGTTCATCAGACTAACCGTGTCCTGTCCTATCCCATCGACAACACATTCTTCAATTGACTACAGGAGATTCTATCCTACTCCTATATAGTTCGAAGATTGGCCTCTTGTGGTGCTGTAATCTCAGACAGGCGTTGTCAGATAGAAGGTTTCAATTATGGTCCATCTAATTAATTTTGTCCTCCTCAAGTTTGTACTTGACAGACAATCGACTTAGTTAACTTGAACATTATAACAGTAGAAGGTTTTCTCTCCGCTCGACACCCCTGGGGAACGAACTGAGCCCCTTAATAAACCTGTTTGACTTATGACCTTCGACCCACGGCAGACATTTCCGATTAGAACGAAACTTGGCAGCCACTCGGCAAAATTACAATGGTGTGTAGATGGGAGCAAAATTTATCGACTTTTATGGATAGAAATTGTAAAATTTTCATGGATTTCCAATCGATAAATTAGTCGGATACAATGTAAATAGATGATTAGCTTATAAAGAAATCTATTTAAAGGGTAATTCCGAAGAGAATTAGGGGGTATTAATTCAATTAGAATTGATTAGATCATGTGTACCCACTTGAAGATGGGTACATACGATCCATCTTTAAGTGATTACAAAGAAATTTTTGAAGTCCGACATCAAATTTAAAGGTAATTTTGAAGAGAATTAAGAGGTAATGGCGAGGACACGGCATAAAACAAATTAATGCAATAAGCAAACCACTCAGACAGTCGGATTCGGGAGTAATTTAGTAATTTTATAGATAAGGCAAGCACAAGATGAGAAGAGAATTAATAGGTAAATCAAACGAAGATTCACAGCAGTTTGCGAATTAATAGGTAAATCAATTGGTCAGACACGCAGTAGTTTACCCGTTATTATGTAAATCAAATAAAGGCACAAGCTATAGGTTTAGACGAGCGTATGTCAGTTTACAAATTAATAAACAAACAAGAACGGTTAAGCGAAACTAACGATCCATTTCTCTCAAATCTCATTTGCTATAAATGAGGAGAATCAATTTTATTTTTTTTATTTTCAAAGTAAAAAAAAAAAGAATTTCCAGCAAAGAGTTGTGTAACTTTCCCGGCAAAAAGGTTAAAATTGCGTGTGGCGCCATCTGTTACTAGACTTTTTAAAAAAATCTTTTTATATTATTAATTATTACAGAATGGCAAAGTTTTTATGGGTAAAGACGAGTTTCATAAAAAAAAATTATATAAACGAGTAAAATTTTCGTTAAATCCGATCCCTCTCGAGATACAGCATGCCACCCCCTCTATCTCCCCACCCCGTCGACCTTTAACCACCAAAATTTAATAGGATCGATGCCCCTAAAACACGAACCACCCTGCGAAATTTCAGAAATTTTCGACAAAAAACACAGGAATTATTAAAGTAAAAGTAGACAAACAAAATCGTGTATCCCCAAAAAGTACAAAAAAAAATTCCTCATTTTTTTTATATTTCTCGACGTTTTA